TAACGATTTACCCTTTTAATAACAAGCCCAGCAGCCATTATAACAGCACTATGATATAAAAATGCAAAAGAAAAATCAATTTGGTATCTCTATAGTGAGAAGGACACATCACAGCTTGGGTTTAGTCTAACAGATGATAATGGCATCAGGATCAGAGTTACACCTTGTCATATGTTCTGATGGGATTAGGTAATCCAATAAAGTGCCACCACATGTGACACAGACGGGATTTGGTCATCAGAGATCAGACAAATCACAATACGCTGCAATCAAGTCTTGCAATGAGAGAGCATAAATATCATACTTAATTTCATTTTTTGTCTTTTTTTATACAGCAAATGTATCAATGCAGGATATTCAGCCAAGGCATTCTAGTACAACTGTAGATTTTGCTACAGTGGTGTTTTATCTAGTAAAATGAATGTCTAAAGTCAAATAGACAAAGTTTAAACTCATAACTTTAGTCAGACTACACTGGGATCCACTGCATATTTTAGCCATAATTGGAAGCTACAATGTAAATCAAAATCAAGCATGTGTAAAGACATAGCAGAGATATGAGGCAAGAAGAAAATTAGTCTAAACAGTGTCTCTGGTTTTTCTAGTTCTTCGTTCCACTGTTGCAATTAATTATTTTGTTCTCTTCAGCCTATTAACACAATCAAAGTCCCCAACAGAGCAGCCACTGCTGTCTATAACACATTCACTTTTGCACTGTTCACCCACCCTCTACCCCATGTTTGTAATATTTTCAGCATTTCCAGAACATTCACTGTCTTTCATCTATATAAATGCCTCTGTATGTGATAAGCCAATTTAGTGATCCGCATTTGGTGAAGCATAAAATTGGAAAGCAAAAACAATGTGTCATGAACATGTAAAAGGGATACTGTTTTACACCTTGTTATCAAATATTAACACATATTCACATATACAAAAAACTAAAACAAGAAGGACTGGGTTGCAGTGGTCCAGTTTGCCCACCCACCTTGATGGTAAAAAAAAAAAAAAAATCTGCTGAATTATTGCGTAGTTATAAACACTGATAATGAAATGAGAGGGACACAAAGCAGGACATTGACATTTAAAGGTGCACAGTAACTTTTCTGTTGATTTGACGATATTTTTAAGCCCCAACAGCCTATATAGGTGTGTTTGTCCACTCAATTGTGAAAGAAGACAGTAATGGAATGAGATTCATTCTGAGTGAGATTATTTGAGGACCTGCCTGGAGGAGACAGGGCAGAGATGTGAGGTATGTGAGGTTAGAGTGTCCGCACTAAAGCTCTGCCAGGAAGTGTAGGAGCCAATGAGAAAAGAGAGGGAGAGCTGAGTCAGGAGGCTGGTCAGGAGAGGGCCCTGTGGCGCTGCTGGCATCTCCTCACACACACACACAAACTCACACACAGAGATATATATGAACACAGCATCAACATACGGATGGCACAGAGGGGAATGTACCTGCCCTTTACTAAAATTGGCAAGTTTTATGAATTGAGAATGGTGCATAAATTGAAATTAGACTACCTTGTCACTGAAAAAATGTAAATAAAATACAATAATATATATATATATATATATATATATATATATATATATATATATATATATATATATATATATATATTTTTTTTTTTTTTTTTTTTTTTTTTTCTGGTAAGTATGTTTTTGTGGACTGGTCTTCATCACATTGTATTAAACTACTAAAATCTGTAAACATGTACCTCTCTTATGATGATTGCGTTATTATCATAAGGGAGTGCCTCAATGATTGTAAATATTTTTATTTATTTATTATTAGATCAGCAACATGGTTTAAAGTTATGATTTAAGATAAAGTTAAAATAGGTCAAGGTTATGTTTAGGGTAACATTAGTCTAGTCTTGGCTATGGTTAAGGTTATAATCAGTCTCTAGGAATAAAATTATAGTCAAATTTAAGACACATTTCAAAGTCAAAAATCTTTCTTTCCAATTGGGTCAAAAACATGCAGCCATCTCCTTGATCACACAGAAGTACACAGTGACATGCTGAGGGCAGGTGCACCCATACTACAGAGGTATTACACCGCCTGTAACACTGATCTCTCCTTTTCAGTGCTTCACACAAAGAGTCAACACAAGACTCTAAAGAGGCTCTTATCTCTGCATCTTTCCATATTGTGTGACTCTGTGTGAGTGTGTGTGAGAGAGAGAGAGAGAGAGAGAGAGAGAGAGAGAGATGGAGGGGATAAGGGAAAGAGAGAGATTGAGAGAGAGACAGAGAGAGAAAGAGAATGAGGGGGAGAGAGAGAAGGAAGAAGAGAGAACGGGGGGTGTACTTATGGGTGAGGCAGGTGAGGTTTGATGAGAAGGTCATGTAGGACAGATGAGCTGCATCACATCATCACGCTTTCTATAGCTCCAGAAACAGTCGATAAGATTAAATCTGGTAATGGATAGTGATCTGGACTTTAGATGACGCCTTTGAAAATCAGATTAAGATTTAAGATTCAAATAAATTCAATGTTTTGACCCAAATTTCTCGTTATCAACACCCTGAAATTTTTAAACAAATATTTCATTTTAATAGTAAAATATATAATTTTTACTTGAGTGAAATGTGAAAGAAGAACACCCACTGTTTCCATACTAAACGCCTTACAAAGCAGCGTAACATAAATCCACATATCAGGTGATGTGTGAGAAAATGGACTTAAGCCCCAGTTCAAAAGTCTATTTTAACAAAAAGGTGCCACAGGGTTTGAATTTAGAGCAACTTAACTTGTGACAATGCTTGCCCCAATCCTAAGTATGTATCCAGTATATCTATGAAAAAAAGACAGTTTATTATGAGGTAATTTCATGTTACATACAATGTGAGTCTGACTTTGCAGAGCCTTGTCCACTGTTCTTAATCTCCAGGGTATAAATTAGCAGCACCTACAGTAAAGTCTAAGATGTCTGCTGGAGTTTGCAGTTGCCGTGGCTCCACAATGCAATGACTGCTTCTGTCACGAGGATAAAGAGGGTTCGTATGTGAGACAGTGGAGCTGCAAAGACAGGAGCGGAGTGGGCAAAGGAATGTCCTGAATAGAGAGTTACGTAAAAACTCACAGTGCCATGAGAACAGAGGAGACAATGAAGTTTGACTGTCCCAACTGAACAACACAAGAAAGAGACTATTTCCAAATGAGCATGATGGTGGGAAGTTAACAAATAAAGTTTAGAAATTTTAGAGGGCAAGCAGGTTTGAGTGTCTCCAAGCAATCAAAATGCACATTTGAATAGGTCTACTAAATTGTTATTACACCCTATTAGTTTTAGTAGATTGTTTATTTTGGTAGAATATAAAGGCTCAAATCAAATAAAGAGCATTACACCTACACTGCAACAGTGGCTTCACATCTAGGCACTTAACAACTGAACGATAAGGCTACTGCGCCTTGGTAGAGGTTCATCTTTGCACTGAGCTGTTACCGTAGGCTATTTTTCCACACACATTCATAAACATGACAGGGGCCAAGTGTGTGTCCTGTCACCAGCGTGCACCAGGGTGAACCTTGACCTGACCCAGATATTAACCCGAGCCTCCAGATGTGAACGTGCGCCGGGATTACTCCAGCACTGCGTCAGCCTCCACGCTGCTTTCCTAATGAAGCATCCTAAAATGACCCTGGAGACAGAGCGCACGGGCTACTGTCTGGCTGCCGTTATGACATTACTACACAAAAGCATAACACAGGTAAAAGGATCTCGTTTACTTTTTAAGCAACTTCTCAACCATCTTTTAAACAAGATAAGTTACAACGCGTGGGATCGACCACTAGTCTAAATATCCTGACAGGCATGTGCGTGAATGTCACAGCCTTAAGTTGTCCTAAGATGTCTTGTTCAAGGTGGCCATTGCATGCACCACTCATGACCCGCAGCCTTTTGCAGAATCGCCCTGATAAAACAAAATTTAACTCCTTCTTTTCATCAATGTGGCTATTGTAGCCATTGCATTCTTTGAGCTTCAATTTCCAACTTGTGCCATGTCTGCAAGTTGCAAACTTCACCCGCAAAGGACACATGGGCACACACATGACAGACACAGAGGCAGACAGAAATTATTCACTTTGATCGGCCTGGCAAAAGCTTGGCAAAAGCTGACGTTTTACCAGAGACCCAGAAGCGACACAAAAATAAACAAAAATGCAGCGCTCCAGTAGCCTACCATTTTGATCCAGCGTTTCGAGGCTCAAAGGAGTCCCAGAATAACTCCTTTCGCAGCAGTTTTCTCTTCGCCATGAAAATGTCCGTGAGATTGTCACATTCCCCCAGTTTGTGCTTTATCCCAATCTTTTCCTCTCCGAGCTACTGTAGCATTCAGACAGACAAAAATGCAGAGGCTGCTTTTGCGGGAGGAATAGGTGATTGGAGCGCGGGGATCATATGGGCTTTTTGTCAGACGTTTTAAAGGGACAAGGTACTGAAACGAGTTTGGACACAGAACTGTTTCGTTTTACTGTACTTGGCTGTTTTATTATTTTGGTGTGTGAATGAGGTAGATAGGGAGGGACAAAATGCTTGCCTATATGGCGCATAACGAGTGCGCAACTGCGCTATGTGCGCACTTCAACGGCACTGACGTCACAGGCCAGACAGATGTGGAGGTCAGAGGGTTCACATCAGTTTGAGTACTTACATATAGTCAGTAGTATTTACAATACTCAAATTCAGGAATTATGCTCTTGATAAAATGTATAAAAAATGTATGGCCAAATGAAAATCAACATCAAATTTAAATTTTGAATTCACACAAACCGATTGCATAGCTTAAACTTAACTTAACTTTTGCTGGCTTCTAACCAGATTAATCCCCGCAGTATTGCTCTTAGCTACAATTCCAAAATATATAAATATACAGATTATACATTAAGACATTACCTTAATTGCTCCCAAAAGCGGTTCAAAATTGATATTTCAGCTAGGTGGCGCCATTGACCCACTTTATTAATCATGACTGATAAACGAAAATTCAGGATAAAACACATTTATTGAATAAACATTCACAGGACTTTAATGTACCCTATTATTTAATTTAAAAAACAAATCTATCAAGTGCACCTTCTCTTAAAATCCAGCTTCATTCCCCCAAAGGGGCAATACAAAAAATAAAACTAAAAAAGTAAAAAAAAAAAAAGTAATTTAACCATTTTAACCAGATAATTACCCATTTATTTAGTCTGTTTTTCATTTTAATCTGGTTGTCAGTTTATAAAGAAGTGTAAATTACAGTACATTCAATAAAGGAAAACAAATGTGAGGGTGGTCCAGTATAGTATTAAAGAGTATAGATATAAATATGAGCATAACTTTGCATACAGTGTCCAGACTGTGTGGTCATGAGGAGCTTCAGCTGTAGCGGCTGCTGCGACTGTGACTCCGCCTCCTGGATGAGCTGCGGCTAGAGGAACGATACGACCTACAAAAAAAACAACAACAACAACTCACATTCATTTTAAAGTAACCAAATAAGTACAGAGACATTAAGGTGGTTAATGTCTTTGTACATTAACCAGCTTAATTTAGTTGTGGAATAAATAGTGTCTTTGGCTCAAGGGGGAAGAAACAATGGAAAAACAGAATCCTGCAGGCTGTTGTCTTTTTTATTGATTCAATTTTTTTCCTTAACATGCATATTTATATATAGCGTTTTCCATTAAAAAACTATCCTTAGACCTGAGTCAAATATCAAACAAGACTTGAAAATAAAACTGTGCCCTGCCAGTGCTGCCATTTTTACCTGGAACGCGCTGAGCTCCTGTAGCTGTCACTTCTGTGTCGCCTTCGTCTCCGACTCACACTGCGACTTCTACTTGAGTAACTGTCATAGGAGTCAGACCTGCATTTTGTACATGAAAAGAGAACACCATTGAGAATAGGGAGTAGGGCTAAAACATGAATGATACTGGGAACCAACCTTGATCTCCTCCGGTGGTTATAAGAACGACTTCTGGAGTGACTTCGACTGTATGTTCGACTGAAGAAAAAAAATAACAACAGCTGAACAATGGAGTCATAGTTCTTTACATAGACCACTGTGAACTATATTTTTATTCCATATAAGATAAGACTTTTACTGTACTATAAAATTACTTTGTGACTATGTTCTAGTCTAGAAACTATTAATTTTAGGTAAGCGTTTACCTTCTGTAACTACGATATGTGCTGCTGCGGGAGCGTGACCTTCCTCTTCTCCGATGACTTCTGCTGTGGCTTCTAAAATATAGACAATATGTTACACAAGATATATTCGAAAGGCCACACCTCTTGAACAGATCCTCAGATGCCTCTCCAGACCTGGAGGAGTAGCTGGAACTGCGAGACCTGCTCCGGGACCGGCTGGAGGAGTGGGACCATCCTCTTGATCTAGACCGGTGACTGGATGCCGACCGAGACTTTCTGCTCTTTTTGGGGGAGCGTGTGCTGGTTTGAATGACCAATGGAGACTTTTCCTCACTTGAGCTCTCCTGGTTTCTGGGTCTCTGGTTCAGTCGTGCAGTTTTACGCACTTCATCAAAAAGTGATCCAGGTTTGACGCGATTTTGACTTTTGATTTCCATTCGGACTCCATGTTGTTTACTGGATGCCTGGTTCTTTTGATTTTGGACAGTTTTTACAGTCACAGGTGCTATACTTACATTTTGGGGAGCGGACATTCCTTTTAAGGGTTTCCATTTCAAGGCAATTCCAGTACCAAGTGGTTTCACAGTTTCAGCTTGCTTTCCCTCTGCAGTCACTGTGGCTGAACTATTGTGCTCTTTGTTCCCAAGGTGAGGTAAGACGCTTTCTTTGCTCACGATGCCCAAGGACTTTGATTTAATCCTAGAAGTAGAGCTGTTTTCACAAGGCACAAGCTCTAATATTGTCTCTGTGCTGTGCTCTGGAGTGCAAATGTCCATGTCATCCACTGTCTTCTCATTGACATTTGGTAATTTGATGGCATCAATCTGTGGAGATTTTTCCTTATTTTTTTCTTTACTGGGGCTCTTTCTGAACATGTCATTATCTCTGTCCACATTAGGGGAGCTTTCAGGTCCATCTTTAGCTCTTCTCGGGCTGCTTCTCTCTTTTTTAGCATCATCATCATCCTCTTCCTCTCCAAACTCTAATGGTGGCTGCCAGTGGAAAGTCCCCTTAACGTTTTTTGGATGTTTTCTTTTTGACCTCTTTGCTTTATCTTTACTGCTTTTATTTTCACTTTTGCGTTTGTGTTTATGTTTCCGTTTGGATTTCTTTTTGCTCTTGTGCCTCTCTGGAGCTGCATCCGACTCTGGGGATGCCATGGCGGCCACTTTTCGCTCCAGAGCATTTACTGCCTCCGATGTTCTTTTGAGGACTTCATCCTCAGACTCTGAACTAGCCTCACCCTCTTCTTTCTCAGATGCTGCTGACAACCGGATATTTACGTTTTCATTGTCACTTTCAGAGTTCCATCCAGTCATGGTTGATAACTGTTGGTCTACAACTTGATTTGGTTGAATTGCTTGAATCACGGAAAGAGCAGTACTTAGGGTTACTTTGTCACTATCACTATCCCATTCAGACCTGTTAATAAAATTCCCAAGAGACATTTGATCCATTAGATTACCATTATTCATATTATCTATAGGTTCAGTTGTTATATCACTGTTTTCACTCCTGCTCTTAGAGCCAGAATATGTGTTGGCAATGGATATGTACTTCTGTACCCTTCTCAATGAACTGTAATAGTTTTTCCAGTCTTTATCCAATGTGGGATTCTGGGGTGAGTTTTCAGAGCCTGAATGCTCTTCAGATGATGACTTCCTATTATTTACATTTGGGGACCTTGACCTAGACCTACTATGACTCCTGCTGCGTGAGTGACTGGAGCTGCTGCTTCTGGATGAACTACGAGAGTCCTGGTGACCTTTCCTACTTTCTCCAGTATTTCCAGACTGGCCCATTGATGTACTAGAGCTATGAGCCTTTTCTGCAATATCAGCTGTTTGCCCAGAAGATGAAAGTGTCTTACGAGATACTTTGGCCTTTATTTCTTCTATGTGGACATAGGAGGGCTTCCATGGCTTCTGTCCGGGTTTCCAGCGTGAAGGAGGTGGGCTTTCACTTAGGGGGATCACCGGGGCACACTCAGGTCCTGGGATAGGGGGCAGCCTCGGACCAGATCTTGCCTTGCTTTCAGATCTCTTCTTAGACTTCGATGATTTGGTTTTACTTGATTTTCTTTTTCTTGGAGACCGTGAGTAACTTCTATCTCTGGAGGTGGACACAGATCTGGAACTATACCTGGACTGGGATCTAGACCTGGTTCGAGAGTAAGATCGAGTTGTGGACGTAGATCTAGATCTAGACCTAGACCTAGACCTAGACCTAGACCGGGACCTCGACCGGGACCTAGACCTCGACCTGGACCTCGACCTGGACCTCGACCGAGATCTGGACAGACTTCTGGACCTCGAATATGATCTTCCTCTGGACCTAGAGCGACTGGATTCATATGATCTGGAGTATGAGTGTGAATCTCTGAGGGAACGTGAAGAATGACGTCTCCGTTTCTTTGAGGCATGGCGCAGACTTGAGGAAGATTTGGACCGGGAACGAGATGGGGAATGTTTTCTTTTGGACTTCCTCTCCGGAGACGGAGGTCGCTGTCCATCTGAAAGATCTGTTGGTTTCTTTGTGGTCTTAACCTTCTTGGGCTTTCGTTTTCTGTTTTTCCTCTTGCGTTTTCTCTTCTTTTTCTCCTTTTGTGGCGGCTTTGGGCGAAAATGTTCATAATTGTGAGCTGGAGTGCGCTTTGGTGACTGAGACCGTGCAGAGTTGGTTTTGTCATCCCATCTGCTGGTAGTATGTTGATTAAGTCTGTTGAAAAATACAATAGATTAATATGTTTAAATATGTATAACTAAAATGACCAATATTCGACTCATACTTGTCTCCTTTGCTCCATCGCTCTGTGCTGGGAGGCTGATAGACTTTGGTTCTCTTCATCTCCGCTTTCCAGTGTGGAGGTGTTTCACTGCTGCCCCTCTCCTCTACGGACACAGAGCGGGATTTTGATCTTGTAGGTGTGCGGTATCGCTGTTTAACAAAAGAGAAAAAAGGTTTGAATACTTTTAATAACATATCAAGATACAAGTTGTTGTATCTTTTGGTTGTTGTCGTAATTTGACACATTTCATCTAAAGTTATATGTACCATTGTTCCTCTGCCTTTGATTTTCCTTCCTGATTTAGACACTGATGGCTTCTGTTCAGATGAAACTGTATTTTCATCCTCTACAGGTCTGAAAAACCCAAACAAATTAAACATTAGCAATTGTTTCTTAAATAAACGCTACATTGATTTTAAACCAAACTCACATTTCAGTTTTAATTTTTTTAGGGGGCTTGTCTCTTCGAAGAAGAAAGCGGTTCTCAGGGACTGGGGGGATCTCTTCTGGCCGCACTACAAGTTTCTCTCTTTTAACACACTGTTCTTTTTCATCTTCTGCTTCAATCTCTCTTTGCTCTGTGCTGTAAGAGAATTGCATACATATAATACTAATACTACTAGTATGAGTAAATGATTTGAATAGTCTTTGGGTTTACAAGAATCACCTTTGTATTGACTGCTCCTCTGCAATATCTTGCTTTGCAGTTTTGCGTCTCTTTTTGGACTGTCTACTTTGAGGAGTTTTCTTAATCTTGTGCTGATTTTTTGGCTTAACATCATGTTCATTTACAGATTGCGGTGACAAAGCACATGGAGAGCCCTGAGAATGTAATGATTCGACAGACCTGGATTTTTGTTTCCTCATATCCTCAAGTACTGATGACAAGATGAAACAAAGCATGTTAAGAAAGTGGGGGCATATCTCAATTTTCCTTTTAAAAACACAAAACTACCCCCATTAAAAAAACTATAAAAGCAGGCATGAATTGACACCAACCATCATTAGCAGACTTGGTGATTAGCTGTCCACAGTCGATCACTCTGACGTCAGCATATGGCCTGCTGGCTGAGTCTGTCTTTAACCCTTCAATCTTTTTTATCACTTCAAATCCAGAGATGACTGATCCAAAAACCACATGGACTCTGTGCCAGTATATTTTGTATAGTTAATACAATCAGGAATTGAATCAAGAATATATTAATAAGGCTTAACATACCCATCAAGGTGAGGTGCTGTGTTGGTTGTGCTGTTTGTTGATAAGGCAGCCAACAGCAATGGAGAGAACATGAAACAGGATAAAAGACAGAAGTTTGTAGAAATGTATCGACAACCATTTGTGTAATGGACACAAATGACCTACCCTCTTGGATACTATAATTTTGTGTAAAATGGAATCATTAAGTAAATCATAAAATTTTCTTTCTAATAGCTAAAAATATAGTAAGGTGAGCAAGTATTTCCATTGTCGAACAGTATTTAAGATATATTTAACGACATTCTCTGCAATATAAATGACTATATGAATAAAACAGTCAGGAGAGAGAAGCACAGCCTTGGAGACACATTACCTTGGAGAAGCAGGATGCTAGAGATTCTGTAAATTTTGCACAAAAATGGCAAGAGAAAAAATGTAACATTTGTAGGTAAAAAAGGTTCCATGTTTCTTAAAATAACTGCACACGGTGACAGAGTATCAACACTTAATGACATGTCTACACTACAGCTTTAGATAAATAAATAGAACAAAACAGGACATGGGAAGAGCAGATATTAAAAATTATATGATGTTAATTCTGTTCAAACTCACATAAAGAACTGAGAGCCATTGGTGTCTTTTCCACGGTTGGCCATGGAGAGCAGGTAGGCCCTGTCATGTTTCAGAGTGAAGTTCTCGTCTGCAGCAGGCAGAAAAACAGGAATCACAGTCTTAGTGTGTGCCCTTCATAATGAAGGTAGAAATGTTCAGCAGCTAAAACATGGTGAACATTTTTAAGTCTTAAAACTCATTGCCTCACCTTTTACAGAGTTTTTCGGCAGTGGGATAAGAATACCATGGCAATGGGATTTCAATATAATGTGACAAAATTTGGTGCCTGCTTATGTAGCCTACACAAGTTATGTTTGAGCTCCTTCAAATAAAAAACCTACTGCTATGTATTGCTGCATCATTTGGCCACAATACAAGAATGTGGCTGTGTGCTATAAATACAACACATGTAACATACAGAGTCATTTGAGATGTGAAAGGCTTTCAGGGGTAGGATGGAAAATCTGTATAAATTCACCTGTGGACATGTGCAATAATATAACTTTTTTTTACATTAAGAAAAGTGGTAAGGTCAATGTTGGCATGGTGTTACAGAGCTGTGTACATCTCTTACCTTTTCATTTTTGCAAAAGACCACTCTATAAATAAAAGAATATGTTGAACATTTTAGGCAGGAAGATTGTAGTTTTCAATAAAGAGAATGCCTACTCTCCATGCTGATTTGATAAAGGCCACTACTGGATAAAATACTCTTAACAATGGAAAGTGAAGGCCATAAGAGTCGAAGAAGAATAAAATACAAAAACATGCAGCTTTCATGCACAAATTATGACACCTCCGAACTGCCTTTTAGGTAAGTATTTTAGAATTACCTTCAAAGTAACCTCCATATATTGATTCCCCTCCCCTGCCGGTGCCTGTCAAAACAGATAGATTTGTTATTTTTTTATCCAAGCAGGTGGAAATGTGCTGTGAGGTTGAATAAAATCTTTTAATACCATCGGTGAAGTCGCCGCCCTGGATCATAAAGTTCTTAACAACTCTATGAAATGTTGAGCCTTTATAGCAAAGCTTTTTTCCTGTAGTTTTGCCTGTCCCTTTTTCACCTGAAAAGAACAAACTTTAAAACTAGCACTTAACAACACACATTGTGATTTAATTAGCCAAATAAAACTAAAAAATAAAAATTACAGTGCTGTAAGGGTTAATTTACTTGAGGGTAAAAGATAAAAATGTCAGCGATTTTAATAAATGTGTGAACAGTGAGCTCACTGTTCAGGTGGGCAACTCAGGTTGCCCATTTCCATGCTTCCCTTTCACTAACGTTGTCTAAAGGATACAGAACACCACTTCAAAAACAGCCAAGAAAATAAGAGACCACTTACAAAGTTTCTTGTCAGTGACACTTCAATGAAAACTAGGCACCCAGATGAAATATAACTATGCTTGACCTCGTCTGCTACAAGGATGGGGCATAAAATGACCGATCTAGAGTTTATTGTAGACTTACAGCCAACTTAAATAACATACAGTACATGCTGTTCCACTTAGTGACAACAAATATCAGAGGGGACCCCTGTGTCCACCCAGACCCAGTCACTCTATCCATTAGTATATCCTGGTGTCAGGATATATATGAACTCAAGTGTTACTATGGTGAGCACGACACTGAAGAAGATTGCTTTATTATAATATTCAAAACCCAAGCATTACTTACCAGTGCACAAGCAGAGAAAGTTTTTGCTTGTCTTGGGGCATACATCAGAAAAAAGTTGGAAGACAATGCGGCCAACTGTGAAAAATAAAGCAGATATTCATATTAACTATTAGTTTCCTAGAAACATATAGCTGTTCAAATAACTGAAAAGAAAAGGGAAAGTAAATAGCATTGACTCTGAAGAACTTAACCTAACCTGCTTAACAAGTGGGAAATAGAAGTAGATTTTCATAGGTAAATTACCTGGCTCCCGGTTGAGCTCTACGTCAAAGTAACACTGGGGTCCGTCTTTTACCCCCATTGTGACTCCGGGAGACCTAATAATGAGGATATAAGCAACGCAGATAAAAGTTACAGTAAAGGAGCACGCTGTCCTCCTGTCTGTCAGAAAATCCTAGGACAATAAACTACAGTGCAGAGTTGGAGGTGTGGTGTGGATAGACAAATGTAAAGGGGAGGGAATAAGGATGGACAGAGTGAGAGGGGGCAATTAGACAACACATGTTAAACATGCATCATTGTGAATTATGCATTCTGACAAACAATGCACAGTAGTTGTATTATTATACAACGAATAAAATACTTCAGAGCCGTGCCATTTGTCAGACCACTCAGTGAAGATTAAATGTGCAACTGCATGCACGCAAATTTTACACAATAGCAGGCTGAAAGAAAGAAACGTGTGTTGATCAACCTTCCTTTCTAAATCTGCAACACATGCTTCCAAAATGGTTGTGCAGCTAAACTGCTATGCTAATAGCTACGTAGCTAAAGTTGAGAGTACACTATTCCGACCTCTATACGACAACAAAAATAGCCTTTGTTTTGTCCAGCATTAAATGTAACGACTCACCTCTATAAACTAGCTAGCGACAAAACTAGCCAGTTGCTGGTGGTCGAAACATGGTCATTTATTGTAGAAAAGGGAAGAATGTACGCGGTGCTACTACAAACCTAACATGAATGTTCAATTTTGTCCCTTCCGGACACCCGTAGAGGATTTGTTGTGGTTTGTAGCAGTAGCAACACCAGGAAGTCTTTTGCTTTTTATCATCTTTATCTTGTTTTAAAGGCTGTAACTAAAATGTGATTCTACTAGTAAGTTACATTACTGATGCATATGCTCAAAAATCTAAATAGCCAACAATTAATTTAGGTATCATAACCATGTTATTGCTGCATGGTGGTGCTACGAAGAAGCTAACTTAACAACTGCAGAGTAAACGCCAGAACAATGCTACCAAGGTAAGAGACTGATTAATGCTGTTTTTTTTAACTCACAGAAGACACATCACGTCTGTAACTCAAAGCTCTACAGACCACTTTATTCTACAGTCAATAACAATATTACAGCATCCTCCTCTTGCCTATTATTTTGCAAACATTCTTCAATTGAAGTTCCATCACCACACAAACCTCTGTTTGGACCTAAACCAACAACTCTTGTATTGATAATATTGCTGCTTATAAACACGTTATGCCAATATTAAACATAATTGTTCATAAAGGTATATCTCTTCTTTCACTTCTACAGGCACTGTGCTCTCCATGGAGCTTTTGGATAATGTCCATGATCCTGTTTGCTTTTGTGGTTCGAGTGAGGGATGGACTCCCTCTGTCGGCCTCTACTGACTTTGAACACAACCCAGAGCTGCAGGAGCGCAAACACCAGCTCCGCACCATCAGCAAGGCCCTGGGCCGCTTCCCAGACAGAGGCACTGTCAAGGGCCAGCAGCTCCACATTTAGTGAGTATCATCCAGTAGTGACTCAAATCTCCAGTCTGCCTTCACTTAACACAGTTACATTTTGTTGTAGAACCCAGATACTTTTAGGCCAGGGTTTTTATTATTATTATTTTTTTATTCATTATTTTACCAGATAAGTCAGCTGAGAACACCTTCTCATTTACAATGACGACCTGGCCGGGTTCTGCAAAGTCAGGCCAGAAAGCCTGGATGTGCTCATCAAATTTGTCTGTGTGTGTGTGTTTATGTACCTTTAAGGGTGGCTGTTTAGGGCTGGTATATTTTGATAACAAATTACTTGTTACTAAGCAAGTGCCTGGCTGCTTTAGAGCTCGAGGTTAAGGATCCTATATTACACAAAATTGAGTCTTATGAGCTTTAAGCCATGTTATAATGTTGTTACCTCCTCAAAACATACCCAGAGTTGTGTTTTGTTTTATTTACATATGTTTGACTAATACTGCATTATTAATCTGTACATACATCCATACATACATCCAATACATCTCCAAAGCTCAGAATGCTCTGTCCCAGCTTGTCATGAAGTGGCAGTTTTCAAGTTAACAACTACCTTTACCTTTAGTTCAGTAAAGAATGGTAATTCATCCAAATTATTCCACTGAAAGTATTTGGAGTTTAAAAACAGAGTGGAACACTTCCTGTATTATCACATGACAGCATAAAGTGGAACAGAGTTAGAGAGAACACAGCCTAAATATGCAGGATTTGTGTGTTAAAGGTGCACAGTGCAACTTTTCTGGTGGAGGGTCCTGTCAACTGCTTGTCTCCATGGAGATGTTATTGTTTTCCTGGAATTTTAATTTAACATTAAACACATCTATCTAGCAAAACAATTCTCACTGTGAATAGGGTTGCCGCACCACAGATCTGACTTGTAATGTAGCCTATAGTTATCTCCCTAGGTTTAATCTATACTGTGGAACATTTCCATAGAGACATGCAGGTGGTGGACCCTCCACTGGAAATGTTACGCAGTGAACCTTTTAAACATGTGTGAATGAAACAAAACATAACTCCAACTTTTTGATGAGGAAACAACATTATAACATAGATCAAAATATAGCGAAATGTGGGCCCTTTAAATGTTGAAATATAATTTTTTTTTTTTACATCTGAGCCTTGGTGCAGTTAATAACTCCATAACTATTAGACGTTAGTGTCACGAGCATTGTTGTCATGTTGTGTCTGGCTGTTTGTTCACTAAACATTGTTGTTCCTTCCAGCTTCACCTCCTCTGAGGGTGTATCCTACATGACCGTGTGTCACTGCAGCCTCCCTGTAGCTAAGGCCTTCTGCTTTCTGGAAGACTTGCGCTGGGAGTTCACAGCATGTTTCAGCAGTTCCGTTGTTTCTTTGGCAGCCAGGCCATATCCATTTTTAGAGTTTGGTGAGTAAAAACAATTGGCTTCTTGTAATATTCATGTACAACATGCCCTCCTTTTTATGCTTTTATTGTGGACACAGACAGTACTATTCAGAGGCTGAAACAGCAGTACAACCAGTGTGGTGGTCCAGCCCTGGAGGTGACATTGGCTGAAGTCCAAGATGATTTGAAAATCCACCCACCTCAAATTATCACCTTTGAGGAGGTGGAGTTAAGCAATGGCATTGCTAATGGGCATTTAGAGCCTGCTTCTGGGTCTGGTAAGAACTTTTATGAGGGAAATACAATCCACTAATATCCCCTTGTATGTGTTTGTGTAAAATGATGTTCTGATTGACACAGGACAAAACATAAGACTTGAACCAGTGACAGCTCCTGGAGTCCTTTCTCTCGTCCTCAATATTGTGTGCGCATCTCTGAACTTGATCCGTGGAGTACACCTTTTTGAATACACATTCCAGGTGACGATGAAGTCAGAATCAAAACTATGTTACAAAGAATTTGTTTTAACATGAATAATCTCTACGCACAGGATGATAATGATGGTATTTGGAATGTTGTGGCATTTCTTCTGGCATTTATCAGTGGCATTTGTCAGGTAAATTTCACTCAGTTTATCTATGAATTTAAATATTGTTTTATTTCTTCAAATGCCTTATATGTCTTTCTATCCGCAGTGCCACCTGTATGTGTTCCATTCCTCTCTGAAGAAACTGAAATCTTTCACTCTGCTCAGTGTGATCGTCTTATGCAACTTGTACCTGCTCGGCCTGAGGAACATGTGGCAGCTGGCTTTCCACATTTCTGTCGCTTCCTTGTCCACAGTTCTCATTCTCTCGCGCAAACTTCAAGACAAGATCAATGACTGTGGTGTGTGAGAGGGCTGAGTGGCTATCTATTTTTGGTGTTTTTATTTCTTCTGTTAATTCGAGGTAAGATACTTCATGATGTTAAGGGCTTTAGTTGACAATTTTTCGTGAGCTTAATATTTTTAACAACTTTACCATGCACTTCATATGTATGGTTTTCCACACTGTAAAAGAGATATAAGTAATCACACTTCTTCTCTTGTTTTTTTAAAAAGCTGACATGGCATTTCATTTACAGCTTTTTAAATTAAACTTATTCTCTGCTGGAACATTCCAAAGTTTTACATTAAGAACAATAGATTGCAAAGGAGTTGCCAAGATGGTGATGCTATACAATCCTTTCGTAAAACCAAATGTGGGGTCTGCTGGGTACATTTAACTGCATTCTTCTATTTATACATAATAGTTTGAAAACATTGTAGTTGATGAATACAACAATTTTGGGACGTATTTAGGTTTTCATTGGAATTTGTTGAATGGACAACTTTTTACAAATGTCTGTTTAGCTTAAAAACTAATTCTATAAATAGTTTTACAGTTCTGACATTTACACTAGTGACAGGTTTGTATGCCATGTGTTTTTAACCATTTAAAATGTAGTCTAATGTTTAGGAATTTAAGACATCATATAAGCAAAAAACAGCATTACAAAATGATTTAACGGATTGCACTGATTTTTGTAATGTAATGTTAATGATATTATTTAAACTTGGCTGCACTAGTATTTGCCTATGATGGTGAGATCTTTTTCGAATGTTGTCCGCTTAAGCTTAACACACTTTATATCTTTAGGACATCAGGGGGTTTTGTACTTATTCTTAATTTTATTTTTTTTTGTTCTGTTTGTTTATTGAAGCATACAATAGGAGGTGGATGCATTGGTAGAGCTGCTAATAGACTGCAATGTTAATAAGCTTGTAGAAAGTTTTTTTTTTTACTGTAGTTGCACTGTTAGATGGAAAAACAGGAAAAACTTAATTTTTAAATAGTAAATTATCATTACCCATCCAAACTACACTTTCCTTGAAACAAATATGTTGTATGTAGGTATGTAGATTACCTGACAAAATCTGTACAACTATGTATATTCATATACAAGTACATGGAGAGAGTGTCAAATGACTTACCAACACTGATTTTACAAGTGCTGTCCCTGGAAGATCAAATATTTTGGACCAATTGAATGTGAAATGGAAGTGTATTTGGATGAAGAACAAATTAAATTGTGATTATGAAGGTTCGTAAATTATCTGAAGTTGGGGTTTGCATATTATTACATTCATGGTTGGCTCCAGTCAAATTATATTTAATACGACATGCATTGTGTTTGCCAAATACACTGTTTATACATAACTTTCTATACTGAGGTATATCTGACATTTCAATAATAAATCTAGCCTTTTCACAAACTGAATGTTTTTTTTTTTTTTTTTTTTTTGACTACATCGTGAGCAAACTACATGCATACTCTACATAAACTGAGACGCAACATGAGTCGTAACATTTGTCCACTAGGGGGAGCAATTTGTCATCTTATTTTTATCAAGTGGATGTGAAATTCAGTGTTGACTTTAGATTTTAAACTTAAGTGAACATATTTAAATATGAATTGTAATAATACAGTAATCTTGATCAAATAGAGAAGATAAAGAGAGGAAATCACTTTATCCAGTCTAATTGAAAATGACTTCCTATGCAGTTGAACCTGAGTATAGCCTACACTCTTTCCTTATAAGTGAGCTGGAATTAATCTGGCTCCCATCAATAGAGCATAACCCTTGTGGAGAAGTGCTGACCGCTGACAATGACCTATAGCCTTTTGTCATACCTGTCTACAGTTCCCAGTAATGTCACACTTAAAGGTCTGATAACATTCAGAATTGTCTCTAATGAGCTTTAAGCCATGTTATAATGTAACTTCCTCAAAAACATACCTGGAGTTGTGTTTTATTTCATTCACATATGTTTGAGTAAGCCTTTATTATTCAGCTATCTACATCTTCAAAGTGCAGAATTTTCAAGTTAACAGCTACCTTTAGTTCAGTAGAGATGGGCAATTCTTGGGCGGAAATCATCCAAATGGTTCTAGTGAAGGTGGACTTTAAACAAGTGTGAGTGAAACAAAACACAATTCCAGTTATGTTTTTGATGAGGAAACAACATTATAACAAAGATATTAAAAAAACAGCTTAATATGGGGCCTTTAAACTGAGACATTTTATCCATCAAGCTTCACAGAGGTACATAAAATATCCATACTAGTTTGCAGCCAGCCATTCTCGATGTCAAGAGGGACAACCATTTAAAAATGCACAACAATAAGCCAAAAAAAAAAAAAATCAGTAAGTAATTAGATTAGAATAGGAACCGTTTTGCAGAACACCATTTCTTTTATAACTACATATTTTCTTTCTACTATTTATTCAGTCTGTGCCAAATATTGCTTGTGCCATATTTATTTACTGACTAAGCCATTGTGCTTCCAAAATATCCCTGATTATAGTCACAGGTTAAAAAAAAATACAATTGAAAGCCCCAATTGTTATAAGTGGTAAACAAATCATTGCTCTAAGATAGTATTTGGGAGGATATTTGTGCCACTGTTTTCCTCAGTTTAAGCAAGGTTAGTCCCAATAAACAATCAATGTGCAATTGACTATTCAAATATTTTTGGAACAGAATTAGGTTTCTGCATACACTAATAATAAAACACATGAACACAAATGCAAATAATGTAAGAATAGCTGGATAATGTATTTTGCTGGTAATAAACTACAGCAAAAGGGAGAATTGACAGCAGCTTTGCATTCACATAAGGCCCCTGTATGGATCTTGGGTTCGCCTCCTCCACCTCAAGGCTATGGCACGGCTTGTATGCTTATTATAGCGTGTGCCAATAATTCACAATCCAAGGCTTTTGATGTTCAGCGGTGTACCCAATCTTGACAAAGCGGACAAATGGAAAGATGATTTCAGTGTGTGATGTATGTTTTTAAGATGGTTCCAGATTGCAACAACAATCTTAGACAATCAAATGAAGATAACCTATAGATTTTTAAAATAGAATATCTTTGCTATTGGAACAGAATGAAAAAGTGTAAGATTAAAGTACTTTTCATTATTTTCAATTTATGTAAATGCATTCTTTGTGACTTTATTTGCAAGCCTATATATTTTCCAGAACGTGAACCATATTAAATTGCTTATGCGCTACAATCTTGCATAATTAGACCATTAATAATAATCAAAAGTGCTGGTGTTGAACTGTTTACAAATGTTGAGCTCTAAAGTTGCAGTACAATGCAGTCTGGACCTCTGCATAGACATGAGTCATGCTTTCCCTGATTGAATAATAGATGTCTGTCAATCGTGAAATCAGGCTTCCTCCTTTTACATGAATGTGTGAATGTATTTCCTTTAGCCTGTTTACAGCGGGTAAATCAAAGAGCTGGTTTTCAAACATAAGTGCATGCCTCTAATGACTGATTATTGCACATGCTGAGAAGAATAGCTCTGTACTGAAGTGCGGTGTACATAAATCACTGCAGTACTCACAATAGTATAGACACAACAACAATGCCCTATTAGAAATGGGAGGAAAAAATAACAGTTAGTCAAATATGATGCCAAACTACAGGAGAATGTTCTGTTTAGTGCTGCAAAAGAGGCCTGGTCAGTTGAACCATGTCTATTTAAAACAGTTTGATTGAAATCCCCTTAAGAATGTGTTCTTGGTACACTTGGTGGGTGGGCTTTCATACTGTTCTTTAATGTGAGAAGTGTGTTTGAAACATTATGTGCAAATGTGGAGGTAAGAGTGTTAATCCAATGTGCAATATAGAATCAAATAATGAACATAACCCCAAAGGTAGAATATATTCTCAAAAATGTAGAATGTATTTAATTTGGTAACACATTATGGCATGTTTGTCCACTGATCTAAAGGTCCAATCCTGCTCTCAACATAAACATCATTGGTAGACCGGTCAGATCCACTGACCTACAGGTTGGCAATGTGATTCCAGCTCCCAGAGATGAATGCTGTTGTTGTGTCCTTGAGCAAGACATTTAACTCATCTCCGGCCCCAGTATGGGCATACACTGGTGTGTGAATGGGTGAGCGGTTCCTTGATGTAAAGCACTTTGAGTGCTTTGAAGGTGGAAAAGCACTACATTACAATGTGACCATTTACCACTTTTTATAACTAAACTTTAAAGCCTTAGTAAAGCATCAGAAATACTCAAGACTCCATTAATATGATTAAAGCATAGTAACTGCTTAAGTAATGCTCTAACCTTAATCCCTTAATTAAATAGTTACAAAGCCTGAATCCTTCTTAATAAAGTAATTGTTCATTATGAATTAAGTCTTATTTAAGGTGCATTATGTAATTTTTCTGGGAGCCAGAATAACAACACCTGTAATGAAATAAATGCAAGATAAAGAAGTGTAATGCCATATAGAAGAACATTCCATACAGACCTCGAACATCCCCGCTACACAGGAACATCACAGAACCTCCAAAAGAAAGTTATACAATGTACCTTTAAGGCTAATTCAAGAACTGCACCAAAAATTTGTCCTTTACAGTATACCGTGTAACTTTTCAGGTGTGTAGTATACACCACCTGTTCGATTCTCTGAATATGTTTTTGTTATGCCTGGAATGCTGAGGACTCCATTTACATTGAAATTTGGTTATTTTGTAGTTACTATGTGAGTATGCAACTACCTCTTAACTTTGGGTACTTGTTTGTTATGGCATTTGCCTCTCCTAACCTTTCTTTATTTGTCACATGAATATTTAACCAGTATCATGAATAATAAAAGAGGTGGGCGAGGGGCAAGACACCTGCCTCTGCATTTCACCATCTCAAAATAATCTTGTCATGTTGAATGGACAGCTTGTTTGATGAACTTTGGAAGCGTTCAAATAAGCATTCATTTATGTATTTGATGAGTGTACACCAAAACAACCTCTCATAGTGTGAATTCCCAATGCTCTCTATGCCCCTAAAGTATTCACTATTATTACAATTGCTATAAATATTCAATTGTCTTGGATGGTGTTTAAAATGAGCGGGTGATGGGAGGATGTTTGGCAAATGGTTTTACACAGAGCTGCACAGCGAGAGGTCTATATGGCTCAAAGGCAGCAATAAATCTGAGCTACAACACAGGGATTAGCTCAAATAGCTGGGGTTTACTACAACTGTGTATATAGACTTTATGCAATGGCCCGGACCAGACAAAACAACCATATACCCCCAGTCAAGTGGAGCCTAAAGCAAGAGGTGCCTGGAATACTGATAGCAGGATTCAAACAATTACTCAAATTGCACTGATGAATACAATGCTTCCTCTTAGAATTATATGGTTATATTTATGGTTGTGATTGACTAAAGACTTGTCCTGCTGATCAGTTAGTCTACTAAAAATGGGGCATGGCAAAAGGCTCTCAAAACTATTATTCACTCATTTAACTAACATAGATTTTGGCTGACTAAATCTACATCAACCGATTAATTTACTAAATGACTAAAGGACTACAGCTCTAGTGATGTTTGCATGTTTGAGATTTGAATTCTTTTTTGCTCATATAAACCTTGAATAAAACAGTGTTAAATAAATTCTGTCTCCATAGAACAATTTTCAGGTAATATCTATGGAGACGTGACCTTGCTCACAAAGGAGTGTATGTTTGTTAAAGGTATGATAGAGCACTACTCATGATAAAAGGAATGAATATCAGATAAGTTGAATATCACCCATGGAAACTCTCCACACAACACAATAACATCTTCATGGTACCAGACTCTACACCTGAGAAGTTACACAGTGCACCTTTAAATGCCCAAATAAATATGTATTACTTTAGTCTGTTCAATTAACCTTATCATACCAATACCCTATATACATTTATGCAACCTTAGAATGCCACCAGATATAGAGACAATAAGGAGTTTCCCTAGTCCATAAAGTGACTTGACTCACGGAGCTTGCATTCAGTCCACAGTAATAAGCCATTACATTTAAATAAATCAAGGCATAGGCTTTGCATTGAAAATGAACTCCCAACAGCATAGGCAGAAATACATTTTTTGAAAGTACCACAATAGCTTCAAACACTCATTTATGTTGCTTTGAGATTATCTGAAATATCACGCTGTGTCAGTGCATTAAAAAACATGGACACAGTGGAAGGTAAGAGCTATTAAGATGCAAATATGTACAAGAAAATATCTTCTTTAACGCCTAAGATTAGCATAGCCACATGGAGGAGTTAGCGGGAAGTCTCTGGGAGGGTAGGTCATGGCCTTGTCAGGAAAAACAAAACCACTCTTAACCACAGAACAATTATAATTACAATTTATTCATAAGTTCAAGTGTAATAATGTCAAAAGTGTATATCTTTACATACTGCTATACATCAACAAAAAATACAAAATTAAATATCAGGTGTACACAAATGTGGACTTTAAATACAGTACAATGGCATCTTTACAGTTTTGACGGCTGGCAGCGTAATAGTGTCATGAACATTGCACAAAGAAGTAATTTTGCACACATTAAATAGCTAGATACAGCTAGGACCACTTAAAGCTAGTGGAAAATTGGATCGCACTTTACTTTACAACACAGTAATATTATCTACCTGGGGTAAATATATTTTGTTCTAACAGCATTAAATTTAATCAGATTACTATGGGAAAAAGTAGAATGAGAGATTTGTATGTTTTCCATGAGTAATTACAATGTTATAACCGTTATTAAACATTGTTACCAAGCTATTCCCATGCTATTACTAAGCTATTACTGAGCTGTTTAGTAAAGTGCTATCGTAAATTGTAAACAAACTGTCACAATGTTATATCATACTTTATAAACAATGTCTTTTAGGTTTTCTCACCAATGATTCTCCCAGCTCAGTACACCATTCATGCTCGATTGGTACATTCAGCATAAGATACACAAGGGCAGTATGTACTTTTAATGTAATCAACAGTGGACTGAGTTTGTCCCGGAGTGAAAGTGGAGCCTGGAGTTTCGGGATGTTTTCTCTTGCATGAACACACCAGTGATTTCCAGCGCGACCCTGGAAGCCCAAACATACAACGTGACCGAGCCAGTCATCCTTGTTGCCTTTAAGTACAAAAACTCCTCTTCTCTGTCTTGTCCAGTCCAACAGAAATGCCTCTCGGAGAATATTCTAAAAGCAGAGCAATTCATGTGGAAATGTTTGCCACTACACCAAAGCACAATTGAAGCGTATACTGAAACACAGAATATTTTGATATATTTCTATAGGCTGTACAAGAGGTTCTGATATTCATGGAAATCATAACCACAAATACATTACAGTATATAAAGTGAAGCCCAACTTATTCATACCTCAAAAAATTGTTTATGAGTAAAAGTAACTGGCCAAATTTCTAGTCTAGCCCTAGTGCTCTAATGGTTTGTTCTACAAAGCAAAACTACACTTTGATTAATCTAATTTCAAAGGCCGCAGTGGTATAGGTAAGATAATGTGACTTGTTTACTGGAAAACCCTGCTAACCCTGTAGTTTTAACATATTCAAAAATGTAGTGGATTCTAGTATTACTATAGCTATTATTTCCTAATATTAGGCTACTACAATTCCATACTTCTTGCTAATGATAATGTTCCTTGGTGCGCTTGAAATTGTGTACTGCTCTTTGATATGTTGCATTCTGATAATATTTGTTTCTACCAATACCAACATTTTCTGAGGTGTAAATACATTAAGGCTCAACCATATGACATTATGTAGTTTGAATGGTAAAATCCATAAACTTTCCACTGTCCACATGCCCGTAAGACAGTGTGTGATTCTTCCGATGTGAATGTAAACATGTCCCAAAGGCATTTCCTTGTTTGTGGTCCTGTGTGGACTGAACAGCTGGTGAATGGAGAGAATGGGTGTGGGCCCCATCTTAAAAAATGTACACAAATAAAAACAGTCACACCCCACATGGCAGGGGGCGCTAGTGATCATAGCTAGGAGGCAGTGGTCTCTGATGGGATGCGTAGTGCAGCAAAGGGCATTAGTTGTCCTGAGCCTTCACTGTGGATTACATCACACTGGTCATCGCTGTAGAGTACGGTCCATTTGGCATTTATTAAAATACACTTCTTTGCTGGTTTCCTCATGAGTTTTTGTTATGTTTTTGCCCAAGACCACAGTACAAAGCAGACACAAAATCCAACTTTTGTCATTCTTTCATCTTGCATCTTCATTGCTTACAAAATACATTCAAAGGTCAGTCTTCCATGGCCTTAATCTCCTATACCTCACACAGAGTAAGATCACGTTTCCCTTTTTGCTAATAGCTTATGTATTTGCATCAACATGGTTCTTGTCGATATCTGAGCAAAGGAATCCGTTAAGCGATTTTGAATCATCACATAATGAGATCACACCACATGTTTGCTGCTTGTGAATCCTCTATTTAACATTGTGACCATGACTAAGGGACCATCACCCACTGTCTGTGCACACTATAAACTAATAATGATTGACCGTAGCATCCACAGTGATCGAACAAAATAAAATGTGCGTTTAAACAGAGAATGGTCCTCGGTGATATGTGCAAAAGTGGTGACCATGATTCCTTCCTATGTTCAAAATGTTTTAGGTCTTCTTACCACGGTCTTGCAGTGTGATGTACAGTTTTTAGGGGCATGTTGTTGATGGGGGCGGGGTCAGATACTGGAGAGGTCCTCATGGCAGGATGAGGAGTTGCGTCGTGCTTTGGGACTACAGCGTGTCAGCATGGTGATCTGGGTGCTGAAGTTGTTGCTGCTCCCAATGGACGGATGCTGGTACTTGGTGTCGTGGCCCATGTATCGCTGTAAGTGCCACCTCCGCCATTTCCGCTTGATTTCAGCTTGAACCTATGGGAAACAATTTAAGATACAGTCAAGTGTAAGTTGTGTGGTAGAAAAGAGAATGACACCACCAGCTTTGAAATGCCCATAACAGCTTAGACAACTTATTTCACTATTATTATTATTATTATTATTATAAGTGGGTATGACAGGTTTTGATGCTTCTCTAATTTTGACTTAATTTGGTGGAATAATATCTCTATTAATACCTAATACCATCAACAAAGAAGTAGTTTATGAAGGAAAGTTGAAAAATATGTTTAAAATTACAGGAGAGTTGCATATTGAGGACATTACATTAGGGAGAATTCTATCCAAAAGCTGAACACAATTTCCAGGCAAGAGACCCATTCTTCTGATACTTTTTGCATTATTTCAACAAAATCAAGGTATTTTCTAATATTTTTATGTATCTGTGTATTTTAAAGGAGTTTTCGTCCTACATACATACAACATGTGTTTAGGTAAGTTCCCTAGTGTCAACTTCAAAAAGGAAGTAAAATTGTAAAACTAAAAAATGGCCAAAAATAATTGTATTTTATAACATATTTTAACATAATTTTCTCAGTCTGTCTTTTTTTGTAATTTATAATTTACATCATATATTTTAATTTATAGTTTATACCATGACCTTTATCTAGCAACCATACTATTCACCCAACCGAACTCAAAATTCTCCAGATTTGCACAGTAGTAGTTTTCTGAATGTTTAAACTGTTCAAAAATGTGTTTCTTTCTTGTGTGCAAATTGTGACAGCTTTTTGAATGAGCTTTAAATACCAGGGTTTTAGAACTTGGTGTTAGTTGCTGTAATTTTCATCACAAACTGCCATTTGAAGGGTGTGCAAACTCCTTCTGTTATTACAAAAAACACTTTTCTAATGATTAGCAAATAAACAAGCCTTTTGATTTTCCAATTTTATTTGAATCTACACACAATATCTACTCTCAAAATAGCTCAAAGGATACCTCTAGTGGATTGGCAAAATGCAGGAAGATGAAAGTAAAAAAAAAATATCGCAAAAAAAGTCCCCAAACAATGTTCTTTTCAAACTCAGTGGGAGAGAAAGGGTGGAGAGGGACTTTACATCACAGTATGGATGGAAGTTGGAAAGAGCCTCGTAGAAATGGGAGAGAGTACAGGAATAATGGACACACATAAACTCGAACCATGAATATATATATATACTGGACATATAATGGACAGTCCAGAAACAGATCAAAGAAATGTTATGGGAAAAGCAATGGTGGTCTGTTTAATCTTTTTATTTTTTAAATATTTCAATAAAAGGACTATGCACTGTACATGTTACTTTATGAAAATAGACCTGTATGCAAAAATGTAAAATTATACATAATTTCTTGTTTATCCATTTCTTGTTTATTCACTTCATTCTAGGGTATATTTCCTGAAAGCCAGGTCAGACTTGCGCAATGTCATCTTACTCATCTCTAAGATTGAGTTCAGCCCTGCACAGGAAGAGTATAATATAATTTCTAAAAGTAGCCCCTCGAAGCAACACTAAGTAGCTTCTAGCTAAAAATGTGCTTTTATTGCCAGGCTGTTCTTTTGGGAAACGCTCCAGAAATATGTCGATGGGAGGAGCAGGCTGGAATGACTCAGAACTCCTCTGTGTTTGTGCGAATCTATCAGTGCAACGCAGAATCTACTACAAGATAGGGCGCAATCACGATGTACTAGAATTAGATGTCATGAGTTGAGATGGAGAAATGGGGCTTACGTAACTCCCTGAGTCCCTGCCCATAACTGTTGTGTATTTTGTATCATAGCAATAAAAAGCCTATATAACTGTATAAGTATGGGTGAGCCACTGTTTTTGAATGAAAAATACCTAAAAGGTTATTCCACATTTTTCTGTTTGAGATTGAGTCCATAAATTTGCCAAGTAAATCTTAAGGCAACAGCCCTTTCACCTGTCAACAACTGTGCCACTGTGTTTTATGACACAATGTTTGACCTTAATGTTAATTTTGTGTCAGAGTATATGTTAAGCATACTGTTGGATTATGTGGATATTTCCACTTAGACCAAAAACATCTATGTTTTTACAGTAAAGGGCAAACCTTAGGATTGTAATTCCTTCCACCTCAATTCTAAACACATTTTTTTAAACACAGCCGATTATCACAGCACTCAGACCTGCAGCCTCGAGGAAATCTGACTGTTTAAAGTGTGTTTACATAACAGTGAGAAGGACGTACCTCTCCGTTGAGGAAGCAGTAGAGGACCGCCACCACAAAGCCCTAAATGGAAGGAAAAGGGAAAAACAATTTGTGTTAAGGTTAAACGCCCTATCAAATGTGTTTACCTTATCCACATCATGGTTTATCATCGCACATTCTGTATGGTATAATCACCCTATGTGCCACTTACTAGACACTAAAAGAGCTAGTTTGCACAAGTAACAAGAAGAGGCTGGCTCCATCTCCAGTGCTCGTCATTATGAAGAACTGAAATAGCAGTGCACTTAAAACAATAATGATGAGACTGAGTCAATGCCCTGGCACTGGCCACAGTTTCAGAGAATTACACTGGGCCATACCGGATGTCTGTTTTGAATTTATTATCTAAAAGCTGTAGTGAGTAATAAGCACAACCCTGGGCATCTTGTAAAGGAAAACACCAAACAGCATGGAGAATCATTCACAGTTTTATCAAGACATTTTCTAAATTAAACGTTGCATTATGTAGCTTTTTGGGTGGAGGGTCCGCTTCTCTCCATTGATTGTATTGCTTTGCTTGTAATGCTAGACACCATCAGGCCAAGTTACGGGAAAGATATGTGGAGAGGCAACTTCAAGGTATTTTTGAGCAATAAAAGCACTAGACAAGTGTAATGCCATACTGTGGAAAATTCAAGCCAAAGCAATAAAACTGGAGACAGGCAGGTAATAGACCCCCCCTGAACAGTTACAAAGAGCAGCTATGATTATCTATTATTTATCATCTATTATTTATTTACAACAGTTAGTCATAAAGAAGTTCAAACCTGAAAGGACCCCAAGATCAGATCAAACACTAGTCGCAGTTCTGTCTTCACTTGCTCTGGGATAAATGCGAAAATAAGGAAATTGATCCCAAACAGAGGAATCAGCAGCAGTGTTGACTTGGCCAGTCTCCTGAAACGACAAGTGGAAAACATATTAATGCTGCATAGGGCCTCCCTCAAACCAGTTTCCAATTTTTCTCCATTTGTGTCAATAATAAAATGCTATTGCACAGGCTCTTTCATTTTATATTTGGGCTCAGAGATGGAAAAAAACTGATTAAGTGTGTCAGCAGGAGAATTGCCTCACATTACGATCTTATAAGAGGCTCTATCATGCAAAAATCAGTTTATGCACCATATCAGCTTGCATGCAATCTTTCCCTTACTGCGCTTCTTCCCAGTGTAAAGAGATTTTTGCATATCTGAAGTTCACTTCCTATCAGTATTACCAGTATGATTTCTCAAGCATAAATAAACTTAAAGGAAGTTTGTCCAAAAAGCTGTTTACTCACAAATACTGATTGGACTCTTTTCTCCCAATATCTGGACAGTTGATCTTCTGACGGAGTATTCGAATGATGCAGATGAAGAGGAAGAAGTTCATCTGCAAAGAAATAGTATTAAGAGATTTAGCTTCAATGTTTAAACTGAAATGTCACATGGATGCAGCAAATAACATCACACTGGACCACCGTTCAGAACAAGCATTACTTGTAACTTTTTCTGGTGGAGGGTATGCCACCTGCTTGTTTTCATGGAGATATCATTGATGATCTCCATAAAGAATGCATACTTTTAAACTATAAGCCCATTTATACCACTGCGGAGCATTCCAGGTAAAGCAAAAATATTTTTCATGGATACCCACCTAACAGCAAAGTTGCATAGTGCTTTTTAAAATACTGTATTGTCTGATGAATCGAATTACATGAAGATGCACACATTTCTAATATGTCTGAGCAGAGACCCCCAAAGACCTACAGTTTTAGATACTTTCTCATCAGTTTTTTATATTTACACACACAATTCAATCAGGTTTACCGTACATCTGTGACTGAGGCTTTTTGAATTTGTTTTTGTGTGAAAACATGCATTTCTTGACAGCTAATTTGTGTTGAAGCACAAAATGGTGCCCTTCCAAAGCCCTGCAGCTGGTGAGGAGATGAAGTTATGTGATCTGTCAGTCTTCTGGCCTTGATCCTAATGTGGATTAGCACCAATGAAACCTGATTTGTCAACGACTGCTGCCAAGTGATGACAGACAGGCAAAAGACCAAACAGCATATGTCAGAGATAAGGGTGAGCACTAAACTACTCACATATATGGAAAGAAAACTGTTGTAGCAGTCTCAAATAATCTAAATCATATGCCCTCATAAGGATTATACCTCCTAATGCAGTTTTTTTTTTTCCAATCGCTTTGACACGAAAGTCTAAATTTGGGCACAAATCTTCAAAATGTGCCACTGAAGGAGCAAATAGTCCCATCATGTTGGCACAACCTCATATCCATTTTCAGGCATTAACTCTCAGATCAAAACTCCAAAACACTTTTTGCAGAACCAAAACACAACTGTCAACAATTTAAACACAGATTAGAGTTGTAACGCCCTCTCTGCACGTGCTATAGTCTCTGTACCTGAATACTGCACACACTCAACAAAGTCCATAGAGTATAGACACAGAACACACAGGAATCTCAATATGAATGGATTTCATAGTCAGACACAGAAGCACTAGAAACACAATGTAAAAGACTTCTGTAGTGAGACTTCTAAACTAAATGAAACCTGGCTGAACCATTTTTTCATTTAGAGACTTTGAGATCCAAGTCTGACACAGTTTAGACACCTACTGCTCAAAAGTACAGATCTGAAAATCACACTTTTTTGTGACCAAAATGATTGTGTAATATTGTACATAAATTTAGAGGATACGCCTCAGTCTTAAACCTTCAGAAACAGTGTGATACTGGTCCTACAAGCCTCTGACTCCCTCACACTACACTAAGAGTGAGGGAGCATTCTCCCGACAGTGTCTGGATGATGTTTGTATTTGAACCACAAAGTGTGCTTTTTACAAGTGTTTCCATAAAGTTAAATTTTTCAAATGTTCTGAATTGGTTTGTGTCTTGTGTAAACAGTTTTGCAAAGTGCGCAAAAGATTTATGAAAGATTTCAGAAAATGTGCCAAATACTGTAACAATAATTGTTAAACTACATAAAAGCCTAGTCAGCAGAGTAGACATAAAACACATTAAAAATCTTGTTTAGTTCATTTAATGAAACAGGGACAGTGCACAATCTACATTAACCTTAACAGGAGAGATGCATTGTACCAGGTTGAAGCACTGGTGCTAATTTCCACCTGTAGTCCCTGGGCAGGTTAATTGATTGATTGTATTTAACTGACCTTAGCTATCAGCTATCAGCTGTTCTTCTTGGAACCCTATGTAGCATTATTTTGGGTTGGGTTAGATTTGGGTCTCACCACAAATCTGATGCAAATTTTACCATCAAAACATTCAAGAACTATTGATTACTAATAGATAATATTTAAACATTCCACATAATATTGTTGTTTTTAAAAAGCATCTAATGTACAAGAAAAAGTGTGACTCTAGATAATTAGAACAATAAATACATACATAATATGTATGTATCTATGTATGTATGAATTCATTTATTTATTATGTAATACATACATACATATAAACACAGAAAACAAAATTCATTGCAAAGAAAAGCAGTAAAATCCCTTGTTTCTAAACTGCCCTATTTATTGTGGGGGAAATGGCACCTGGAGACAACACATGACCTGTCAAACTGTTAGACGGGAGAAAATTTAGCTGAAACTTTTCCTGTTTGAAAAGGTGAGGTCATTCTAACCTCAGACGGCCTGAGCGCTGAGACAATGAAGAGTTCAAATGAGGTGTTCAAAATCAAAGATGATGCAGTAAACTGATGCAGGCTGATAAGAGAGCTTTCTTATGTACTAACAATTTAAAACGTCTCGTCTGGTGTTCATCATTATTAGATTTTATGGGAGCACTTTCAACAAAGCTTTTTGTCCGTTTTGCACAACACAAGAGAGTAAGCAAACAAATCAATGCAGCTGCATATGTTATGTGAAAAATACTGTCTACCTTCTAGTTTAATCATCTTAATTAATGTATTTACAGCTTTCATTTTATTAAAAGTTCTTTTGTTTCACTTCCATAATGTTGATTTTTTTTTTTTTCACCTGTTACTTGTTACTGTTTTTGTTTCGCTTTGACACTTAAATCTAAAATTTGACAAAAATGTTCAAAACTTGACACTGCAGGAACTAATATTCTTGTTATGTTGGCACAACTTTATATCCATTTTCAACCATTAAAATTTTTTTCAGTGTTTTTAGCACATTTTGTTAAACTTGGTTTAGTTTAATAATTTGCTTCTAATGTGTATCTGAATAGGGGCACAGGTGGTCAAGCCATTTGGAACATTTCTCATTAGTTCACACAGTTCTCACACAGGCTCTTTCTCAGAACACTTGACACAACTCTCATTCATAAACAAACAAGATCAGTGAATCCAGGTTGTTTTGTTTTAGGTCTGTTCTCACGTGGTTAAGGAGTTTGACCCAAACTCTGTCAATTTCAATATAGAAAGTCAGAAATTAACAGCCAAAAAACTACAATCTGTGATCAACCCAAAATCAAACAATAAAGGATTTCACACATGAATCAAACAGGGAGAAAGGCCTAAGCAGAGCACAAATTGTGTGAACACAGACACCCTACATACAGTTTATATGAATGAAAGAACACATAAAAACATATGATAAAAGTTTAAATTTTGATGCTAAAACTTGCTTTGGGGAGATGATTGATTAGTTTTGAAAATAAATACTGCAGAGATTTTTTGCTGAGATAAAATTTGTTTCAGAAAATTATCTTATGTATCACTTTTGCAAATGTCAAAAGGGATAGAAAAAAACTAACTCTTTGACCACAACTGTTTTTGCAGCACCTAAAACACAATAACGATTTAATCACAGATTGCAACTATAGCATTCTCTCTGCACATGCTATCATCTGTGTACACAAATACTGCACACTCATACCAAAGTCCAAAACTGAACACACAGAAATCAGAATGTGAAGACATTTTATAGACATAGACAGATGCACTAGAAACACGGCGTAAAAAACTTCTGTAGTGAAAACCTGCGTGAACCAGATTTTCATTTAGTGACTTCAAGGATACCAACAGCTAAAAAGCACACATACAGTGTTTAGAGGATATGCCACATTGTCAAACAAACAATGTGATACTGGTCCTACAGGCTTCTGACTCCCTCACGCTGCACCTCTAACAGTGTGGGAGCATTCTCCAAACAGTGTCTTTATCATGGTTAGATATGTTTATAAATCTGATGACTGTGTTTGTATTTTAAGTGTGCTTTTTAGAGTGTTCACAAAGTTAAATTTTTCAAACATTCTGTTTGTTTTGTGTCTTGTGTGAATAGTTTTGCAAAGTTCACAAAAGAGCTGCCAGATGTATAAAAAGTTTCAGAAAATGTGCCAAAGTAAAAAAAAAACACTGTAAATGACACAAACACTTCAACACAAGAGAAAATATTATAACTTTTTGGAAAAAGTCATAATATGAGCATTTATCTCTCATGAGGTTAGGAATGATGATAAATTAGGACTGTTGTATAGTGACGAACAATTCAATCGCTATAGCAATTTTCTAAAACTTTTTGTAAATCTCTCATACTTTGCTTGTTTAATCCAAACCGCTCTACAAAGTGACCCAGTCTGGGTTTGAGCTATGCCATAGTTTGTTCTGATCCTGCGATCAGTGCTTTCTCTGCTCCTGCACTGTAAACTCAATAGAAACAGATGCAGAAACTGTCCACGCTCAGGAACAAGTTACACTAGAATTTGTAGATAATAATAAAATGCATTTTAATGCTTAGTGGTACTTTTTAAGTAACCCAAAACTGCAAAGCAAACCTATTAGTTTAAATAACGAGCAGGTGACACCATCAAATAAAGTATTTCTTGGTAGTAAATGTTTAACGTTAATTGGTGAATAAAGCAGCCAAGTATTGAATGCAGGACAATACAGTATTAATCAACATGCATGAACCAACTGAAATATAACTTTGACTATGCTGATGATGAGGGAACTCTTTTACCATGGTCTAATACAAAAAATTTATTTGTACAGCGTGACACGAAACAGCTGGTTTAACACACACTTCAGAACTTCAAAAGAGACTTCGCATTTATGTTAGCAGTAAAAATTTTTCTACCACTTACCAAGATTGATGCCAAAATAGGTGTTTTAATGATCCACCAGAACACATCCGTATTTTCAATAATATCCCAGCACCTGTCAATTATACATAAAAGAATACACACTGTGACAAATCAAGAAACATTACTATTTCAAAGCACTTGCTGGGTGTTTTGCTTACCCCACGTCGTTATAATAGGCTTTGGCAATACTCCAAGCTGTGATGAAAATAATGGGGCCTCCTTCACCAAAGGAAACAAATAAATAAAAGTGTTGCTACGGTGATTACAGACCAGGGGTCATGACCTCTGTCTCATCTGTAGCTGACAGTTGGGGCCTCTCACACAGGAGCCACAGACACAGTTAAAGGTACAGAAAGAAAGAAGAGTGCTCACCCCAGCCAATTAAGATGTATGCCCAGAAATACTTCCTTTCAGAGAAGAAAGAGACTGCCAGCAATGCATGAAGATACAGGCCCTCCACCAGCAGCCAGAAGAAGCTGGCCATAATGCAGTACTGAAAGAACACCATCACAGCCTTACAGCCCACCTGCCAATGGACACAGCAAAAATACAACATGAGCACCATCAGACTTCACTTTTATGATAAATTCAGAGTTTCAGAATCAACTGACATTTTTGGACAGATGTCTGTGTAATCTCTCAGTTGTCCAGGTACACTCACCCAAACAGCTTCTTCAGTTCTGAACTGAACTAAAGTGAAGAAGCAGCTTGGCGAAAAATCTCTCTAAAACTTTTGTCCTGTTGACAGAACTGAATTTTTCATTTGCTATTTTTGGACAGAGTGAAATGTTGAGCAGAGAGTTAATGAGGCAGAAAATCACTAACTAAATTTCTCCCAAAAGACAGAAGAAGCAGGGAGGAAACTGCTGAGCTGTGGAGGACAGTGGAAAATGCCTATCTGGTCTTCCTGTAACCCACCCACCAGCACCTGTACCAAACACTATTCAAACACAAAAGGCAATACTTGTCCACTGTTCACACAGTCTACAAACTAAAAGTGTATCAAAATAGAAAACAAAATTGGTCATTTAAAATCTATTATTTTGATTAATTTAAATTCATCATGAACCAAATCTAATAAAGCCCAGACAGTGAAATGTTTAAATGGTCCCGAGGTAAATCATCCTAAATGTACAACATATTAACATTTCAGAATCACTGTAATAAAAATAATACCTCAACCCTAGTAGCATCCAAAAGTGCTCCTGATCCATCCAATGTTTTTTTTTTTTTTACCTAAAACCTAAAACATCAACATTCTCCCTAAACAACTCCTGACACTCGGCTAAGTGGAGAGACACCACAATCAGAACTACATACCACTGAAAATACCCACCTTTTCCCTGGACTTCCTCTACTAAGAATGATAAATGGGTGTGGAAAACAGCATGAAAAATAAACTCCATTGTGTGGCTTGAGTCTGTGCACGGACTGTAGTTGCCATTAATCATGATTCTGGGGTGAGGACACACACGTCAACCACCTCTCAGTCACCGTCTCCCCACTCCACAAAACAAGTTCATTTTATACATCACTTGGACATGGCAAATAGTGCATGAAAAAGTCAACACCGAGATGAGTTTATATATTAGATAAATGACTAATCAAATTCACACACAGGGGCGATTAGGAAATGAGAAATCCAAACGCATTCCTTGGTGTGCGGGTGGCATATGAAGTTTCCGACATGGGTGCACGGCAGCTGCCAGAGAGTAGAGCTGACAGGGATTTGGGGGCTTATTTAAACTAATTCCCACTTGGCAATTCTAAGGGGGGGAATATGCACATGGATATGCAGCCTGAACCACACACCTCATTGTAATATGTGCAAATCAGGACAAATTGCCTCCTGGAGCTCCATTTTCTGCCTGTCCTCAATGTCATGTGGATGAATGATAAGATATTTCGCTGCTGGAAAAAGTGATGCCATCCCCACAGTAATGCTTACCGAGGTACCTTAAATCATGCGTTCGTGAATAGCTTCCCAGCGGCGATAATATCCTGCATTAATCTAATGGGGGCACTGTAGAGGAGGGCTAATGAAGCAGACATCCAAAACTCCCACACGCAAAACGAGAGAGGGGTCAAGACGAGCGCCGTGCCACCAAACCTGCCACTTTTCTGTTTATTTCAGTGGTAGCATGGCAGCAGCTGGCTCCTGTCAATGCCCCACTTCCATTAACATCCCAAGGCCAGGACTGCTGCTGATAAATACACTGTGTGGAGATAGCATAAACTTTAGATCTGAGTTAAGTCTAGCCCTGAGCACCACACATCAGCGGTATGTGAAGAAGGCTATTGGCAAGAAATCTGCAAGCATTGTGGCTGCTAAAATAAACTTCTCCAGTTGCCAATTTTAGTTCATATTTGTTTGTAAAAGGGTCTTTATGGGAGAATTTAAACTAGAAATTGTCTGAATCTGGCCTAGTGTATTTCATATGTCTTGTCTTCTATGATAAATACAATTTTGTAGGGTGCTAACAGCTTTTGTCATTTGTCCCCACATTATTGCATTAAGACCTAAACAATATGAATACATAAAATCTGCATAAAGAATTAGATATCCATTTAATGTCTTAACCAATAGCAATATCATAATATAACTTTTTCTAATTTAGTCACTAGATAAAAAAATGTAGCCCAATTTAAAAGAAATAAACAGTTTGACCCCTTCTTCACTGCACATTCAGTGTCAAAATGCCCTTGATAAACTAGAAAATTTGTAAGAAGCTCTGATTTTTCTTATATTGAAACACCATCTATACCCCACATCCCCTTTAGTCCAGGCGAGCTGTCATTAAGCATCTTAATGTGTTTAATGATCTCCATTACTTACAGCTGTCCAGGGCGAGACTCACCTGCAGCGACCTTAGTCCTGTCTGGCTTTGTACCGCTCAAGGAGACCCTAAATGATCACAGATGTCCAACTTAAGTGCCTGAAAATGAACTCACCGAACCAGAGGAGCAGTTGTCCACCTCTCCGACCTCATACAGAACCACGTCTTTAATGAACACTGCGATGGCCTTCAAAATGAACGACACAAACAGGTGCATGTGGATGAAGTTCCTGGTGCAGTGAAGTTTTCTGAAACATACCAAAAACATTCACATATAACACCCACACACGACATTATAATATGACATGGGCCGCCCTGCTTGTTATCCAATGTCCTTGAGTTAATCGCTCACAATGGCAGCAAATTACAGACTAAATTAAGTGATAATTAACAGCCCACAGTTTCCTTTAACAGAGTGGGCGGATCTACTTAACTCTGCTGATGGCTTTTTATGACTACTCACACCTTCATAATTATAACACGGCATTCTTACATACAGAGTTTGACCATGAATTGCAACAGTAAATAGATTAATGCATATAAATTATTATATGCTTTAATCTATTTACTATGTATTTAATACACATTAATCTACTATGGCATTCAATTTAAATGCCACTAGTTGTTGTGTAGTTTCAATGAAAAATTAATAGTTTGGGTTCAGATGACATCAAAACTAATACAAAATTACTATTGTCAATAAGCTCATGAGGTAAGGACAAGGTAATCTCAAAATCTCTCATTTTGAACAAAGTCTGTTATGTCTGTTTGCTACCAGTTTTTATATTCATGGTTGACTCTCTCTCATGTCCATGTTTGGGTACTTCTTGTGTAAATTAGCTTCCCATGATTTCTGCTGTGATGGTTTAGTGAAAGCTTGACCGTGGCTGTGTGCTCACTTGCTGTTTTTGTTTTGGTCACTCATTGTGTATAAACCTTTTCACCAGACACCGACAGATCTCGACCAACATGGGCATAATTGAAATTTTAGGAAAAAAAAAAAAGGTTTTTCAGCTGAATGATTAATAGAGTCAGTATAAATCTGCATTCAAAGGTGCACTTACCTTTCTGATGAGAGTGTCTGCCATTTACATGACCCCACAGAGATGTTATTGCTATGCCTGTTCCCCAGTGTGACATTAAACCTTTCTATCTTGCATCTATCCAGTTGTTTTTTTTTTTGTTTTTGTTTGTTTTTTTCAAAGAAACAAACTTTGAAAAAAAAAATTCTTACACTGAGTAGTCCACAGATCTGACCTGTAACTTGGACTGGTGGCTCTAGAACATTTCTTCTGACAAAGCAATAATTTCCATGGAGACTCTGTGCTAAAAAAAAATGCATAGTGCACCATCTTTAATAATGAGAGATAGATAAATATTTGCATCACACCTATTAAACTCTGTGATAAAAACTGTAAAATAAATGTAACCTTTGAATAATCCTGTCCCTCTGTGAGTCATCAGAACACGGTCTTAAAAATTACTTTTTTAGGGCATGAGTGCAAAGTTTATTATTTGCATAGTTAAAAATTTTTTTTTTAATAATATCTCAGCTCTATGACTTCATTCTTACTACATTCTTTGTATACACCTAAAAGCAGATAATGAAAGTGCAATCTCAAGTCCGATTAGCTGCTGCCAGACACAAACATCAATTTCCTATCTTAACTTCTCTGTCAGAGTGTTTGATAGAGTATATGCTTTGGCTGCTGATGTGTGAGAACGAACAGTACCTGAAAACGCACAAGATTACAATGGCTGTAGTCAGAGAGATGAGGGAGACGCTATGGCCCACAGTGTAGCCAATCTTCACTTGCCAAAAAAACTTGCCCTGAGAACAAACAAAACAATAGTATAAGTCAGCACTGAATTACATAAATGAAAAACACACTCCTTATTTATTTTATTTATTATTTATTTATTTATTTATTTTACTACATATTTATTTTTAATAAGACTTTTTGACTCTTTGTCAATAGTATTGACTTCTATTTTCCTTTAGGGCTGATAAGATAAATATGAATTTTAATAATCATGATTATTCCAATAGGGCAAAATAAGTGGTTTTAGATTCATACAAACTATTGATCCTCAAGGGAAATTACTTGGACACAGCGGCTCAGAAATACAATTATGAAACAATCTTAGTAACAAAAAGCAATTATAAGAACAGCTTAATTTAAATAAAAATAGAAGCAATATATAGGGTCTTTGTAAAAATAGTACAGTACAAAAACTACTAAATGTTCTCCTACAGTCCAATTTATCAGACATTGTAAATGAAAGTGACTTAAAGATTTTACTCTTTCATATGTCAAAAACTGAGACACCACAAATAGTTGTTTCTTCTCACAGTTTCTATAAAAAACTAAAGTCTGTCAGTTAGATAACTTTTGAGCAGTGTTGCATAGTATTTGTGTGAGGGGTCAGATCTTTAGGACTCAGGAGATACAGTGAGTCTCGATGAAAATGAGATAAAGCTTTCTCCCGCTTCACTTGCCACTATCAACTATGCAGGACATTGATTTCCTTTTAGAGCTGGGCGACAGCTCGGTCTCCTCTGATTCTTATGTGGAATACTAATGAGCCGCTCCTATGAGTCAGAGCAAAAAGTGTCCACCAGAAAAGCTTTTACCACCCTGTCCAGAACATCTAGTCTTCACCTAACTTCTGCTCATTGGTAAGAAGTGCTCTTCCACAGAGCAAAGAGAGCCCATTACATGTATTTATTGCTTCCCTTTTTCCTGAGGCGCCTGTAAAGCTGCGACAGTTCCTATTTGATTATATATAATTACCTGACCTGACCTTTTGTCTCTTCTGTGTATGTGAGAGTACGGCAGGAAGCTACTTTTTAATTTGTGGCTATTACACTTGCAAGTTGTAGAAGTGTGTGAGTAATAACAACTTACTTAGGTTAAAATGAGATAGAAGGACATAACATAACGGATTGACAGTATGGGGAACTGAAATGCAGTGTAAAGTGCATATAGGGACATCACCAATTATACTGTACATTTTACACATTTTTGTTAAAAGATGTACACACGAACAGTATTTCTGTTCAAGTGGTCATCTAAAATTTTCACTTTTCAAAAAATGTTCAAAACAATGATATGTAACAAATATAAGAATGAAATTTCAATCTGAAAAATGCAAAGGTAATTTAAAAAGTCCATTTGTTTTAGTCTTACTCTCTTTTTTTGGATATACAGTATCTTATGCCTGATGTATCAAAATCTTCATAATTTCATTTGAAATATAATGCCTTTATTTTGCATAGTCAGTTTCAGTGGCAATGGTGCAAAGCTCCCATCACAAATAATGTATGTGCTGTGAAAACACCGCATAAGTCTTTTGATATAATTGGCACAAAATTTGTCTACAAAATGCCAGCAAAGGGCACTGCATTTGCCGACACACTGAAGATCGTTCGCTTCGTCAAATATAAAAAAGTGGAGGCAATTTGAGCAAAGACAACTCAAAGAGTTTCAAAAACACAAAGATGCTTCATGGATTACAATAAGCTGGTGTTTTGCAGTGAAGGGCAAGTGTTGTAAACTCTGAAGAGGAAAACAAACTACATAAACCAGATTACTAAAACATGAGTGAAGATTCAGTTATATTGTGAATGATAATTGCTGGCTTGGGTCTTTTTAATCAAGATGTTCTACAGCAAACTGTCCGTTAGTAAAAGCATGTGATTTGTGAGTTCAGACTTTTGATTTGAAGTCTACTGAATATGAAGCTATTTGTATTTGTTTTAGAAGAAAAAAACTGCAATAGATCAGTATGAGTGGACATAAAACATACTTCATACACATACACTTTTGGTAGATGCATTCCCCTGGTTTGCAGTTGACTCTATTTTCCAGAGTCAACTGTCAGGACAAAATGTTCACTTGCTACTTTATAATCCCACCACCTCGTCACCCCATCACTAAGCCTGATCTTTGTAGAAGCTACAACATTGCCTGAATGAATACAGATCCCTCTTGAGTAGTTCTTTTTAAGCCTCACAAGTCTGAAACCTGATCGATTGGGGATGCGTAAAAAAAGACTTAGAAAATCGATAAGTCCTGATAGACTCAGCACCCTCCCGCAGAGGGATCTGATTTTTCCTGCACGTTGGTCCCCTGCTATTATTGTGTCCCGCCTAAGCACTCAAACGTATTCATTGAGCGCAGGGAACTTGTGGCGGTAGGGGTGGTGCACTCACGTCATCACTGGTGCTGTTCGGGTTATATCCACAGTTCAGGGCGATGTCAATAGGATGCATGTCCGTCCATCCGTCCGCTGTGCAGGTTTTGGAGAGGTTACCTGTGGGTTATATGGGCACAGGGAGAGGTCAGTGCTCACAGCCAGCCAAAGTCTCATTTACCATCTCTCCCAGACACTTTAAATCAATCTAGCAGCAAGAGTTGTGACATGAACTGACCCAGGACCAAATCAGGAGACTGATGACAAACCACACACAGAGAACCTAATGCACAAATACAGTATATGTATGAAGACATGAGCTGATTGACCCACAGCAATAATATGTTAACATGAGGCTTGCCATAAGAACAGATACCCAGATATTTGTTGATACTAAAGCAAGATACTGATCAGATTTAATTGCTCATATTTAATGTTTAATGAATAGTGTTAACATTTTCGCATTTTTAGTATGTATGGTAAATATGAATTAATGTAATTTGTGTTATGATTGAATGATAAGATACTATAAGTAATTTCCTTTTTAGAATATCTATCTGTCTAAATTGATATAAATGTATAGATAGATAGAGAGATAGATATAGATGTATAATTATTATAATAAGATGGAGTTGGTTAATACTGTACACATCAATTCCTCTTGTTCATTAAAAACAGCATCTCAGCCTGAGTGTTGAGCCTCTTCCTTCCTATGTACATCTGTCTGAAATTTTAGTAACAGGATAACAGCACGATCTCTTAAAAATGGACAGATATGTCTGGAAGGGCATCCAGCTTAAAAAAACAATGCCAAAAGAGAAATAATTTGGTATTGCATTACAGGTAAATGTGTTGTATTTGTTCATTCATAGTTGTTCATGTTTTATTCATCAGGACTCTAAAGAGGTTCTTGTAAACTGCTTATCTAAATTGAGCCTTCTCTCCCTTCTGCAAAATGATCCTGTAAACGAAGGTAATTATATCTACAAGGATTCATTTGCATATTCATTTAACATAGAATGGCAGATAACTGGGCAGAAGGTACTGTCTAGACAGTCACACATCAACGTCACAGACTTCGGCATAATATAATTTACCACTAATCTGTTCCTGGTGAATAATGCTAAATATAGAGGTATACTTAGCTTCTGACAGCAACAAAACAGCACATAATGAAGTTGTGTTTGCGTCAAATGAGAACAAGAAAACAGAAACAATAATTATTTTTTCACTACTTTTCTAGGTTAACTTAAGGTGAAATTCTTGTTCTTATTAACCAATGGGTCAAAATTACCTATTATTCCAAATTTTCTAATACCAAAAAGCATAAGAAAAGTTGAAACTTAAACAGACCCTAGACTTCTTGTAAATGCTTTGAAACTTGTGAGGGAAACACAATCCCAGCTGACACTTTACTGTTACCAAAAGAATAAAAGTATGTTGACAGATTCCACAAACACAATAAGAGGAAGACCTGAAAACAGAATAGTTGAGATTTATGAATCACTATATGACTTTTTCTGAGTCTTGCTGAAAAAGATATGTGACATTGTGAGCCTTGCAATGTGTCAGTTTATTACTTTGTGCCCAAATATAACAGATATGAGCAGTTTTCATGCTAATTGGATTTTGGTATCTGGCAGCACTCATAAAGCCACAGCAAAGAAGCAAAGAACACTCTGTAACTAAATATGGACTGATATTGGTAATACTGTAGATATAACATACGGATTTATTATGACTTTTCACTGTTAATTAAACATGCCCTGGTTTAAGCATCAGTGCAGTACCTAAAAATGAACATGACAGAGGGGTTAAACAGAATGTGCTTTTGAATGGCTTGGTGATTTTTGTGTATGTGACCTCTGCACATGACCTTTGACCTTCACCTCTGCACTTCAACAGGATTTAAAGCTTTATCCTCACACTGTTGGAGGCTCAATTTCATAAACTCCAGTCTCTTTCCATTTTCTACATGAGGTCTTTGAAGTAATTCATACATTCATGTCAAATTTGCCAAACCAAGTATGAAATATGAAGAATGTATGACATATGCAGTGAAGGCTGTAGAATCCTAATTTCATTTATTGAGTGATTACATGTTTTGATGTTAGAAGCTTTCATAAATAATTCAAACTTTTCACCATTTATTATTAACAGCGTTTCCCATTAAAGCTGGAGTTTTTTTGTTTTTTTTTGGAAAATGAATAGGCCTGTGATGATAATTACAATATAGACTTATTGTTCAATATAGGAAATATTTTGAGGCTCAGAATTGATTTACATACATTTTCTTTGCAATAGTTGGGAGATTATTGTTATTTTAGATAAGATTAAGCTGTAGATTGTTGAAAAAGTAACTTCAGTGTCTACTTTAAAAATGGTTTACTGGGATTGACTTGGTTAGACTAATTTCAATATTATTGTTTATCGTTATACTTAATAGAAATATACTTATAGAAATATACCGTGCTTAAAAATGTGTTATTGTGACAGGCCAAAAATGTTTTACATTTTGTTATCTCCTATGGAGTAGGCCTATAGTGTAAAAGCAGCACTAAGCTTTCTTTCACTACCCACAAAATCTGTTCAAAAGCTGTGCATATCCCCCCCAAAAATCATGATTGCCAAGGTTTTTTTTTATAGCTAAAAAAAGTTAGAGCTGTGGTAGGTAACTACTTCCTTCATTCACGACTTGAAAAGTAGTTAGCCCAAATGTACCAGAGGAACCCACAGACTGAACAATGAACTGATATGAGAAAGTAGTTTCACGACAAGTTTAAATAGAGGTAGTAAGTGATTTTTACTCTGAATTTTTAAATAAATAAATATATTTAAATATTTCCAAAGAAACAGTGACTAAATCATAAAGGAGCATTTTGTTGTGGAATCACGGTTTAGATCCAGTAGTTTAAATGTGTGTAACATTCTGCCACACAGTCAAAGCAAACTAACTTCAGTCATTAAAATACCATTAAGAAATAAACATTTTGCGTCTCCATGGAGATAACACTGACCTCTAAACTATAACACTTATTTATGGCTGTGAGCACTGTTTTTCCTCCTATATCAAATAATTATAGTGAGAATTTGCTGACCTTGAACATATATTTTCATTAATATCATAAAATGTATAGACTTTTTGTATTGATTTGACAATTATTTGAACTTGCATTCGTGGCTACAGTAAAAGGGATCTTCTTTCTCAAATTGTCTTGTCAATAGTAGAATATTATCTCCCAGCTGGGGGCAGGGAGTGAGTGGGCCTGCTGGGTCAGATACAGACTGTAGGAGCAGGTAAGAGAGGAGGAGAGGGGCCTGGGGTACAGAACAAAAAAGGATGCCTCAATTTGAAAATGTGATGAATGAGAAAATGGGCTTGGAGATTTGGGCACAAGGAACGGCAATGAATAAACCTAATCTCATCAGAAATCATCATAATGAATTCAAAAAGTTCAAGATATTACACTGTGCAATATTACAATAGTGAGGACAGGTGGAAGTCTGGAATAAAAGTAGATATTTTAAATTGAATATAAATTAGCATCATTAATGTAAATGAAAATACTGTATTATGAATAACCACATAATAATTAACCACATACTTAAAAAATATTCAGTTCTATTTACTAACCTCAGAAAGGACTTAAGAACAAAGTGCACTAATGACATTGGTGGAAAAATATAGTATAGTGATATGTAAATGAGTGTAACTGTCTGGTTGGTTTAAACTCCTAACTTTTCTTTGAGGAGTTGTTGACTTCTAGCAATTTTGTGACCTCAATTTTCCCATCTTTTATTGAGTACACCAAGGAGGCTGCGGTGGTGACATTTTAAAAGACTCAACAAAGTTACTGTAATTTGTCTGACTTGGCTGACTTCTAAATTACTGTAAAATAGGTTTAAACTTGTGTAACTATAGCAACGTGGATTACAATAATACAAAAGTATTCATAAAAGTTTCATAGAGTTTAAAACTAGACATGAGACAAACTTTACTCTCTCAGCTTCTCAGCATAGACTGGTAATTCTGTGTCACCTTAAAATGTATGCCGATTTATTTATTTCAGATTAATTTCAGGTCTATCTGAATGGGCATATCAACAATAGTGGTGCAAATATATCATGTGAACAAGGCATACTTTTGATGAAAGTTTATCTATATTCTGAGCAATATAGAAGGAAAGAGAGCATTCGGTAAATGCTTTGGGGCAGCCAGTGCTCATCCTCCTCTTTGAGTCGATGCCAAAACAAAGGTTAACAGATTTGTTGGACTTGTGTGTGTTTTCACAGAGCCAGACTTTAATCTGTAGCAGGCTTTTCAATGCTGATCCTTAATGTAGATCAAATAAAGTCCAGATAGTTTTACAGTAAGATGGTAGAACTGTTATTCCATGCATAAGACACCTGGTACCTCTTGATATCTGGAAAAACAACTGGTCCAGATGGTCATCATGCATAATGGACCCTTTGGTTTTCCAGGGCTTCACATCACAAGAGGAACATTTCCATCATCCATTTCAAATAGCTAAAGGGAGAAATGGTTATGAAATTCAACTGATTAAACCAGTCCTTTATATAACAAAGGCTATCTCCATACACTATGCACTCCCTGCTTTATCCCTATGTGAGTTTGCCTTGGGCATTCTGTGGGGTTTCTCATAAGTTTGTGGTCGCCCGCCAGAGATGTGTGAAAATCACACTTTGATGGCTCTAAACGTCCATTTACATGCAAAGGCCACCAGTCTTCATTCACCATCCTTCTCCCCAAAGGCTGGTGTGGATGCAAATGCATTTCATATATTTAAAACACTCTCAGCTATTTACACAGAAATGTAAATAACCACATAATACCATATAATGATAGACTATAGCCATCTGTTTAGGTGGAAAAACAATATTTTATAACCCAGTTGTTTGTTTGCTTTTTGCCCAATATGGATTTGAAAGTCCTAATCCAAATTATTTGTGACAGAGGTGTGACATAAAAAGGCCTCAATGACAACATTCACAGTTTCTAACAATAAACTATATACCAATAATATACCAGGAGTGGAATTTTAAGCCTGGGGCTAAGTCATTTTTTTAATCAAAAAGTCCTTATTGGCATTTATTTCCCATGTGTAGAAATAGATTATGCACATTAAAAACACAGGTTACAGATGGTGTGACAGATGCATAATAATAACTCTCTCCATGGCCAGTTCCTGACCTTTTTAGAAAACCCATTAAAAATACTAAAAAGCCAGAATCTGTATTTGTAGTTAACCAAAGACAGACAACGTCTCAACAAAAAATATGTTAAATAGGGAAACAAAGGGGAGCTGAGTATTCTTACCTTTGTGCTGGTCACTGAAGTAGCTGAAGTATGTGGGGCAGGTGATAGTGACCACTTCCCCAACGCTGGCTGAGGGCCAACAGGCGATGATATCCCACGTGCCCTGGCAACCTGACAGGCCAAGACAATGCTATTAACAGGGGATTCGTCATAGAAAAACTCTCTGCTCTCTGTCTAATTAATTACCATGCTTAACCTTAGCCTCACGACACCATGAGGGCGGCGGTGTACGTGTCCGGATTATCACTCAGCAGAAGATCAAATCCATGGGTAAAAATAGCTTTATACTTAACTCTAATAATTTATTGCTACTATAAATATTGAATAGTGAGTCAATAGCATACTTGACATTATACAGAGCGCATATTTACGTCACCGTAGGAGGAGCATAATACTACAAATAATCTGAATGTTGTCTCTTCCAATCACAGGAAATGGTCCAGCTGTGCTCTATGTGTCAATAAAGGACAAACTGAAGACACAAATGAAATGCAACTTTTTCTTAAAATAATGATTTAAAAGTGCTTATTTTATGCATGAGGGGCACAGGTAAATGTGTTTTTTAAAGTTTGAAGTTGTATACTAGGTATAATAGATATATATGTATAGGCGACAGTAGGTCAGTTACTAGAGCGTTTGTCCACTGCTGTCGTTGAGTCCTTGGGCAAGACATTTCGCCCCCAGTGTCTGCATACATTAGTGTGTGAGTGTGTGTGTGAAAAGGAGAGTGGTAGAGCCCGACCGATATGGATTTTGTTGTGGCCGATATGAAACCAATAAAATGGGAGTTGGAGTTGCCGATAGCCGATATAATCGCCGATATATTTAGTGGTGTAAAAATTCACTGCAAATCTTGACTTAGGTTTGGCTCAAGTGGATTTTAAATTGGGTTTATTTAGGCAACATTTATTGTTATTCTGACTCTTTATGTCATATTTACAGACAGTAGATCACATTCTAGCTACTACTGATGGGTAGCAGGACTAAACCAGAACTGAACCAGGCCTGAAAAAGGACTAAACCAGGACTAAAACAAATCTAAACCTTGTGTAAAACAGGACTAAACCAGAACTGAACCAGGACTGAGTGTCAGGACTCGGTCTCTATCTCTCTCCCTCTCTCGAGCCCAAGATTAGTCCTGGTTTATTCATTTTATGCTGAACTGCAGCCAAATATGCAAATTGTTTCTATCCCATGCACACAAATTTCTGAAAGCTTTGTTTTCAGCCGCTGCCGCTGTCAAACTACGGGTCTACATGCGACGTGAAAAGAAAAAAAGTGAGAGAAAGAGAAAACACGGCTCCCATCGTTCGCTTCAAAGAGCCGGCTCTAAGAGCCGTTTAGTTCGCGGACAACCCATCACTACTAGCTAGTAAAGAAACTACCGCTATTAGCCTTTAGCCGTAATTCATTATATGCATAAATGTGGATCATTCACACGTCTATTCACAACTCATTTACATATCAATGCAGGTCCAGTAACAAATATACGGCCAATATAGTCACTTTACAACAGGCCAATAGAAAACAGCCTGTTTATGTGTGGGAGCAACAGCAGCTAATCACTAATCAAAACTAGCTTCAGAGTCGATGTATTTCCAACACTCACCGCTCACACAGGCTCCTCCTCACATCACAAGTCTGCACTAATAAATGTCCTTTTAATCCAGATTCAAACTGATTGTTCGTAAAAAGAATATAATCTCAGTGTTGCGCATGGCTGCGGGTGTAAAGAAGAGCACGTGAATGAAGTGACGTGACTCTGGGGGTGTGTTCAGGGACAGTACGGACACACACAGACAAATGACTCCGTAGATAAATACTGATGTGGAACCACATATGAGGACATTTATCTGTCTGTAAATTGGATTAAATGAACATAATATAGAGAGTCTAAGCTTTATAACGAGGTATAACAGGCCCAAGTGAACTATCGGCCCATATCAGCAAGCATATCGGCCGATAGCCGATATATCTCCAGGAGCCCGTATCAGCCGATAATATCGGCCAACTGATATATCGGTCGAGCTCTAGTGAGTGGTTCCTTCTTGTAAAGCGATTTGAGTGCCTTGAAGGTGGAAAAGCGCTAAATACAGTGGAGGAAATAAGTATTTGATCCCTTCCTGATTTTGTAGGTTTGCCCACTGACAAAGAAGTGACCAGACTATAATTTTAAAGGTAGGTTTATTTTAACATTGAGAGATAGAAGATCAAAAAGAAAATCTAAGAAATAACTTTAATAAAAATATATAAACTGATTATTATTATTATATAAACTGAGTATTTGAACCCTCTAGCCAAAAAAGACTTGGTGGCAAAACTCTTTTTTGCAAGCACAGATGTCAGGTGTTTCTTGTAGTTGATGACCAGGTTTGCACACATATCAGAAGCAATTTTGGTCCACTCATCTTTGCAGATCATCTCTAAATCATTAAGGTTTCATGGCTGTCACTTGGCAACTTGGAGCGACAGCTCCATAGGTTTCAGTAGGATTAAGGTCTGGAGACTGGCTGGGCTACTCCATGACCTTAATGTGCTTCTTCTTCTTCTTCTGTGCTTCCACTCCTTTGTTGCTTTGGCTGTAGGATGTGGGCCATTGTTGTGTTGGAAGACCCATCCAAGACCCAGTTTCAGTTTCCTGGCGGAGAGAAGGAGGTTGTCACTCAGGATTTTAATGATACATGGCTCCGTCCATCCTCCCGTTAACACGGTGAAGTTGTCTTGTGCCCCTGGCAGAAAAACACCCCCAAAGCAGAATGTTTCCACCTCCATGCTTGATGGTGGGTCATAGGCAACATTTCTCTTCCTCCAAACACGGCAAATTGAGTTAATGCCAAAGAGCTTGATTTTGGCCTCATCTCATTCTCTAAATCATTCAGGTGTTTATTGGTAAACTTTAGGTGGGCCTATACATGTGCCTTCTTAAGTGGGGGACCTTTGAGCACTGCAAGTTTTTAATCCATTGCGGCATTAAGTGTTAATGGTTTTCTAAGTGACAATGGTCCCAGCTGCCTTGAGATCACTGACTAGTTCCTCCCATCTAGTTCTAGGCTGATGTTTCACTGCTGAGTATCAAATCCTTATTTCATACAATGAAATGCAAATCAATTAATATATTTTCTTTCTATAATGTAATTTTCTGGATTTTCTTTTTTTATTCTATCTCTCAGTGTTAAAATAAACCTACCACTAAAATTATAGACTTTTCATTTCTTTGTCAGTGGGGAAACCTAAAAAATTAGGAAGGGAGCAAATGCTTATTTCCTGCACTGTAAAAGTATTACAATAATTGCAATTTTCTTTCCAATTTACAACATTGCGAAGTATCTGACATAATTTTTTAGGCATCACTAGTTCTTTTGTTTTCTTTTAATTTAAATATATTTTTGCACATATCACTTTTTTCCAACATTACATGAATGCAAAGTCATAGGTGGGTAAAGTAGCCAAAAAAATAGTACTCAAATAAGAGTACAGATATTTCAAGATTTCAATTTTACTCCAGATTCAAAATAGAGATCCAAGAAATTACTCAAGAGTATAAAAATAGTAGGAACTAAAAGAGTCTGTCTGGATGACATCTAATTTATGATTGAAAGGACAAAACACAAATGCACAAATAATTTACTAATGCCAACATAAAACTTTTAGCACTTGTGCATTTACTCACAGTGGTAAGAGTTATCAAATCTTTTACTTAATTAGTAGTATTCAAGTAAAAGTATGGTAAAAGTATGTTATTTACCTGAGTAATATTTCCCAGCTCTCCAACCCTCACCTGTCTGTTTTAATAAAGAAGGTCACCTACAGCTATCACGCCCCCTTCTGTTTGACAATAATACGACTCAAAAGAGGCTGCATGTATAACGTGAATAGACTCATCCTTATCTCCACAGTGACCTCATTTTTCTCAGTCCTATCTGTTTCCTACAGGAAGCTCAGGGGGTCTCATCTTGAATAAATCAATTAGTACTGTTGTGAATGTGCTTGTGATAGATGCCATACATTTACAGCTAATAGTACAACCATATATTTAGAATAGAGATTAGAATTTTGTAGTCTGTTATGGTGGAATTTAAACTAGGCACATTTTGACACCCTTTCAAGCAGGGACTTTTCTTACTATGAATACAAATTGTTTTTTAAAAGTTTTTTCTGTGCCGTTTCTGTTACAGCTATATTTGAAATGTGCCTTCAGCTTGAGGTGCCTTCTTGACCTTCACTTCTCATGGGGGTTGTGGCTTCTATCTCCAGTACAGAGAGGAGCCATGGACTGTCTGACTACACTGGGCAGTGATTGTACGTTGTGTAGCCGACCGCTGCAATCCTGACCCCAAACAGAGTTAAGATGACACAGCGAAGAGTTTTGGGTGTCAAAGCGAAATTGACATGAAAGTCTGGCCCTTCTCAGAGCTCCTCAAAGGCTGAGATGGCTCAAAAGGGAAAAAAAAAATCTTCTCTAATAGGTTGTGTTCACTTGTTATCACAACATACAACTACAATTCCTATGGTTAAAAAATTAGCTAAAGGACAGGTCAGACTTCTATGGCGGAATTAGACTTTTAACAGTCAGAGTTGTATTTATAGTTAAAGGTCGTATTATGCAAAATTAACCTTTGTGAGTTTTAAACCATGTTAAAATGTTGTTACTTTATTGTAGACATACCTGGAGTTGTGTTTTGTTTCATTCATACATGTCTGAGTAATCCTGCATCCTTAGTCTGTCTACATTTTCAAAGCTCAAAATGCCCTGTTCCACCTTGTGATGTCATGAAGCATTAACAGCTACCCTACCTCTAGTTGAATAGAAATAAGCAATTCCAATGCTGAAATGATCAAAATGATTCCGATAAACGTGTATGGATTTTAAAAACACAGTGAAGCTCTTCCTGTATTACCACATGACATCACAAGGTAGAACAGAGAGGCTGAATATGCAGGGTTTATGTGTTAAAGGTGTGAATGAAACAAAGCAAAACTCCAGGTATGTTTTGACAACATTATAACATAGCTCAGAAAATAACATAATATGTGTCCTTTAATATATCTGTAATTACTGGGCCTACCCACATGTCACAAATGTCAACATCTTCTCTGTCGGCAAGAATAAACAAAAGTGAAATTATTTTTTCACAGCTTCAGAAAGTGGTGTGATTAATCAACCCCAAAGTCCTGATTGTTGTTTGCTGAAAGAAAATGAATATGTCAAGTTTGTGAAGCCAATCTCTAACAAATAATGATAAAGTTCAACGTTTGTGAGTCAAAAACAGTAACTCTGCCATAGAGTTACATATCCCCCAGCCCTTCTACAAAGTGAATGTAATGGGTATTTATGGGTTTCATCTTGGTGTATGCAACATTTTGAGGTCTTTTTCCCATTCAAAAAGATATAATATTTAGTTTTAAATTGTCACTATGGAAACTGTCTTCCTAATGTGTCATCATTTTGAAACCTATAAACTGGATTGTAATGTATTTTTACCATCATTTCCACATAATCTGCCTTGCTACTATCGCTACTTGCTACTCTGGCTGTTTCCTATTTCCTCTAAATGGCCTCTCGATCTGAAAATGTGTTTTTGAAAAACACCTGACGTGACGTTGGTGGTGGAGGTGCTATTCTTGCAACGCTGCTCCTCCAGCTCGATCTCGTTCATCATGTCACACATCTGAACGGACCTCACCTGCAAAAGAGAAGTACGCAGGGTCAAAGGTTAAAGTGTTTTTCAATGCCTCTGTATTCAGTACAGTGGACCAGGCTGCAGGCACTGAAATGTGATGAGAATGGGAAATGTTTTGGTCACTCCTGGTGCTTTTGAAAACTGTAAAAAGCTTGTTTTATTAGTTACAAAGATGAGAGATAGCATCATGATCACTGACATTGAAATTCATTAACAGACATTCTTTTCAACCTAGCAACAATCGGACGTTTTTGTTTGTTTTGTTTGTTTTTAAGGAAACACTTTTTTTAAGGATTTTGAATGAGTTTGACAAGAGAATGTCAAAAATAGTACCCCTCCTTGTCTGCTTCTGCAGTGGTGATCAGTGAAGTGCAGTCCAAAGAAGAGCCAATGTGGGGAATAAAGAAGGGCCTATGTGGTCACATCAAATCAACTGTTTATGTAATATACAATGTGTAAAATGATCATAAATGGGTGGGAATGACTTCCAATTACTCAGTTTACTTGAGTGGCCATTGTATTGTTGTTGTATTATTTATTTGTAGTTTTTGTATTTTAAGATAACAAACTGTTTTGTTAACTGTTCTCATTTTAAGCCTGGACTGAGCTGATAAAATAAACGTAATCTGAATATGTGTGTTTTTCACTTACTTATTAGTAAATAGACTCTATCACCATTGGGAATCCACTAAGTAATCTTTTGGATTATTCATCACTGTCTGGCAGAGCAGAAGAATGCACTTTGACAGTCTCTCTCTTGGAGTAGTGGGTCAATGCAAAACGCTACATTGAGCCCAATGAGCTGTGTCTCTGTGGAGAAGGTCAGTGGCATTAGAGACAGCGGCAGTCTCGTACCAAATACAACATCCAAAGATGGAAAGGTCAGGAGTGGGTAGCTCCTCACATGCATTATGTACAACACTACCCTTATGGTGGTATAGTACAATGAACTTTCTATGATCACACACCTAATGGAGATGTCAAACGTGATAGAGATGCATAAGTCATTCAGGACTTATCCCCGACAGCACAAAGCCCACCTCGCACATATCAAGATAAGCTTTTCCTATCTGATAAAATGGTCATATTGAGAATAGGAACTGCTGAGTTATGCAAACAAATCTGAAACTCATTAGTGGGGAATAGGCACCATGTGGATAGGTACAGAAAAACAACCCATGTTTTGAGTCCTCGTATCTGATTAGGGGGTTTTATAAGATATAAGATGCAGGCCAGGGGTGAAGGAGTAGAGAAATTCCCATAATAAGTCAAAGTTGGCATTTAAAATCTCAATGCTTTGTTTGAGAAAATATCATGGTATAGCCATGGTTTGCTGCAATGTCTTGTACCCCAATGTTAGGTGAAAATGCAATGAAAAACAAGAACACTAATCAATAAAAGGGCAAAAATCTCCACTAAAACAGAGGTATCTCTCTCTGTCCAAATGTGGTCTTAACTCAAAAAAGTTACAGAAGTAGCAAATCACCAAGGCTGCAATTTTTTTAAGTACCATAATTTCCTCCACAACCAACAAAATACCATGTCTTATTCTACACAAAAAACACTGCTAATCCTATAGTTTAGATCTATGCAAACATGTTCTGAAATGTGATTCTTGTATTAGTCTGTCAGTTCATAGGCCTATTTCAGTCTTTTTGTTAATTCTACTGAATGTGTTTAAAATGTGAACTTTAAACAGAATCCCATTATTAAAACATAAATTGTTAATCAAATTGAAATGCAATGCTTGTCAGGATCAGTTGCTATTAGATATTTGTTTCCAAATCCCAAATCAATATTTATTATTCCCATGCAGGCACTTGGAAAACCCCCTAACTAAAAAAGCTACATACTGCATGTGGGAAAAAGTATGTTACCCTGTATTTGGTAGTTTTGTAAATGGTAGACTTACTTAATGACTAAGGACAATCCAAATAAACACACTGTTTAGGCTTGGCCTTTAATAGACTTTTAAAAAGCTCACATGTATTAAAGCATTAAAGCAGACTCCACTCAATGCAAGTAGTGCATTTGAAAAATAAACCGTTCGTCTTTAGCCTGGATCTCTCTTCTCTCTCATCTTGATGGCTACATTTACTCCTTTTCCATGTGGCCAGGGTCATCCTGACACTATCATGATCTTTCCCTGTGAACGCAGGAAAGCAGGATCCAACATAAGCTCAAATACTGTAATCTAGGCACGGACACATGGAGAGTGAGGGGCCATACCTGTCAAACATTTAGCTTACGTGCCCCAATGATTAGATCTGCTCCATGTTATTCCTGATAATGTGATACAGAGACACCTCAGGAGGTTTGATTTCTTGGAATTGGGAATAAACGTGTGTTAATTACATTTCGGAGGTCAGTGTTCATGTCAGGTGAAACAGATTCTTGCAGCACATACTGTATATAAGAAACACTTGGGAATGTAGTAGACAATTCATTATCAAAATATAGTTACTCTTATAGGTGTACATAGGTAGTCTGTAGCCCTTAGAGATGATTCAAATATTGATCAGGTTCTGGACACTGTGACCTTTTGGTTGTCACAGATGTTTAATGGGATAAAATTATGAAGTAATAGCCCATAGAACTACTGAGTCAAAGGTCAATGGTCCCGTAGCAGCCAAACATATTCCTCATCATGTTTGCACTGCTAAATCAATAACAGAGTTGGAATACCCCCATTGACTTAAACAAGGAAGCCTAAATGTGGACTAGTAATGGAAGAAATTATTACAATGTAGATACAGGAATTTGTGGACACTAAACATAGCATTTAGTGGCCATTTCATTGATCATTGTTCATAATCATGCAGTCTCAACGAGCGTCCGTGTAGGCTGAGGGTGCTTAGTTTCTCATATGCAGAAAGTATTTACATTGTGAAATTGTTTGTTTTTCCTAATGAGAGTTGCTTCAAACGTCAGTGTGAAATGTCTAGTGTAATTTACATGATGATGGCAAGATTTTTTTCCCCTCATATTGACAAAACAATCTTGTTAACACATTTTCTTATTCAATTTTATGGCTTCGTATGAAAAACTAAAACCTAATGATAAACCTCTGGTGCAATTAACCACACAAACACTCAATGTAATTGGCAAATGATTAGATCTCAATCTTACATTTTTATTGCCTAGCCCATTCAGCATCCTAGCATTTACCATCTGTTTTACATCGGAATCCCTAACAAACACAAACCTTCAACATTTTTTCTTCTTGAGCCCTTGCTAGAATAAATGGACACTACTTCACACATTTCAAAATAACAAATAACTGATGTCCAAACTTCTGATAACACTGTATCCACACACAAAACTGGGACTGAATTTCGTTTGAGCCTTGCCTTGTTTCTTCTGGCATTTGGGAAATGCAACAAGTTTCTCCATAAACATGAATAATAACACTGCGTAAACAGTGGTCGACAGTGCAGCGGGTCAGGAGGAGGCAGCCATGACAGGGGAACGTGTGCCAATAGACTTACACTGTCGGATAAAGCTTGCTTCATTGAATCCAGCTGGTTTATTAGTTCACTACAGGGATACAGCCAGAGTACACAGAGGGGATGTCCACTGCTAATAAAACTATTAAAACTTAAGTTCCCATGGTACGGTGAATTTTGTCTTATACCCAAAGAAACTCACAGCATACATGTTACGAGAATATATTGCTTCTATTTTTGAGCTACTTGTTATGGAGATTGCAGCATGGAGCAATGAATAAAGATGCCGGTCCCAAACCAAGTCGATAATAAGTGGGTCTGGGTTAAGCCTTTGGGACACACTCAAAGCCTACGCGAGCAAAACAGACCATAAATACTTGCCAGTTTTGATAGTTCTTAGTAAGGAATTCATCACATAAAGGCTATAGCTAAAACAGCAAGACTGGTGTCATAATCATTTCTCAGTATTCCTGTTCATACAAATAAGACAGATTTGCAATTCAGATGAAATCATAAAAAGTATATGAAAAGTGTTTGGGCTATGAAATGTTTGATATAGGAAACAGACGCAACAGTGTACAAGGTTAAATGGTATTTCTGTTTTTGTATTTTTCAAAGCAGGTGGAAGATAAGTGCTCTTTTGTGCTGTTTCTGTGAAAAGATATATATTTAATTTGCTTTTAGCGGAATCACCAAAGAAGCAGGAGTAAAGGCGTCTGAACAAAGACTATGTGTGTAGACAGACTCAGCAGCAGCAACCGGTGAATAGAAAGGCTTTCATCTCACTTAACTCAGTCAGCAGCTAGAGTCCTCTCTTCTCTATGGTAATAATAAATACATACAACTGTCCACTGCTGACTGGTCAATGCTGCTATTACTGTCTAGTTCAAATAGGATTTTAATGTGGACAATTACAGCTATTTGAAACTGGCACAGCCACATAATTTAAGTTTCACACCAGATGCCCTTCCATAACTGCATATCAAATTGGTAGAAATGATAGAAAGACATTGTATCCATCCACACCTTGATGACTGCTACTTATTGTATTATAGTCAACAATTATAACTATGTGAAACTGGCACAGTCAGATCATTGAAGTTTTTACACCAGAAGCTCTTCCTTAACTGCATACTGATTGTCACTAATTTTTGTCAGCTTTAATTGGGAATGGTTGACACTGTTGTATCTAGCCACACCTTGATAACCGCTACTTATTTTATATTGTATTAATGTCAGGATCAGTTTAGCCCATGGAGACTTACCACATGGTGTAGTCCTAAAAAGTGTTAAATTATCTTTAAAAAGTACTGCTTATATCATTTGAGCCAATTTAAAATGAAAAGGCAAGCCAATTACAATGATCCATGCACCCTCATTTTATACAGAGTCATTTTTGGACACCCCTGTGGTTTAAGGTTTTGTTTTCAAAGTAGGTCAGATAGAACTTGCTCTGTTAGGCATATATTGGCATAAAATTACATAAGGTGTTGCACAGCTTCACTAAATAATAAACACACAGCAAAAAAGCAAAATAGCAAAAATGTTAAACTCCACAGTGGAATTAGTTTGTTCATATTTTAGTACAGAGAAAAAGTGTGGTGAGTATTTGTGGGAATAGTTTTTAATGATGGGTAACTCAAGAAAAAATGCTTTTATCTTAATTTAAACAACTATCACTTTATAGATTCCAGTCTATATCACTATCTTTATAATTATACTTAATATAGGGCCTAATACATTTTGCAAATTACAAAAATATCTTATTTGATTTGGTACAATTTTGTCTAGGGATGGTGTATATTGGTAAATATTGATATAGGTCCAGTATTGAAAATGCTATGGTTTTTTTGCTTGTTTTTGGACTAAATAGGGGAAAACATGAACACAGACGCATACATTTTGTTTCACTTCACTATATCATAACATAAATTTGGTCAGTACTATAAACTTTGAAATCTACAGTATATTTTAAAAAAGCTTAATACTTGTATCAGCAAAAATCTGCTCAAAAAATCCATATTGGACTATCCCCATTTTTTTTCTTTCGCTGTATTTCAAAACTTTTCAGAACTTCAGCACAGAGGCAGAATATGACATAATTGGCCACTTTTGGTCCTCTTTCCCTCCTGCGTGATCTGCATTGTGTTAAACAGATAACAGTGACACCGACCCAACGTATACTTTTAAACACTTATGGGGCCCTCTTTACATCTCAGAGTATCATCCGCTGATGCAACAAGGGGTATTTCAGTGTGAGGATAGTTATAGCACAACCCATAAAGCTGTCCAGACTGCCATATATACAACTGAAGAAGAAATGTGTCAACAATTACGTATGTGTAGAGGGTCTTGTAAAGCAGCCTGGTGGGTCGGAAATCTGAGGGAAAGGGTATGTTACAGTCATATGAAAAAATAAAAGAATAAAAAGAACTCACATTTGATATCTCAGGATTTTAATTAAAATACAAGAAATCGTTTGACTGCTAATTACAGCTTTAATTCCCGTAAAAAGCCACTTGGAAGACTTGATAGCTACAGTTGGTTTAATTTAACACAGGCACAGTACAGCAAAGCAGCAGTAAAAATTGACAACCATACATCAACATGAGTCCTCCATCCAATTGACTTTAAACAAGGAGTTACTGCCATGTTCCTGCAATAAATCAGTTCTTTTAATTGTTTATCTATATATCTATATATCTATATCTATATATAAACACACATATATACATACACACACACACACACATACATGTGTGTGTGTGTGTGTATATATATATATATATATATATATATATATATATACACACACACACACACACACACACACACACACACACATATACATATATATATATATATATATATATATATATATATATATATATATATATATATATATATATATATATATATATATATATACACATATATATAAAACCAAAGCTTATGGCGTTAATCAAAAAGATTTTTATCTTAAACAAATGTTAGCCTATATAAAAGCCACCAAAATCTGTATTCAAGGATCTGTATTCAGAATATTGTATTGTATTTTTTTTTATAAGTGGTGGAACTGTCTGAATTGTGCGAGGCTGACTGGTTAACTAAGTGCTTTTTGTTGATTTAACCTTCATGAGTGACTCCATGCCACAGACAATGCACAAACAGGCTAATGTATCTATTAAATGTCACAGTGCAGTCAGAGGTAGAGGAATGATTGAAAGGTAGGAGGGTTAGTGGCAACTCCTTAAAGAAAATAAATATAAGTGACATTTGTGTTAAAGACAACATCAACGACCTTTTGTCACTAATGACTTTTGGGGTTTGAGGAACACATGGTCATAGCCTAAAGGATCCATAGAATAAATTTAACTTCAAATATTATTAACGGCTAATCAAGCTGTTTCCTTAAAGAAAACATACATTATACACTGTTTCCAAGAAGGTGGTATTTATTTGAAGTTTAAGGAAAAAAATGTCTACTTACTTCAGGCAAGTGAGTGAAGAAGAGGAGTAGAAAAAACAAACGCGGCACAGCCATCCTTTTACTTTAGTCTCCTTAGGCAGCCCGCAGAATTTCTCTGAAGTTATTTTAATTGAATATTGTGTAAATAAAAAAAATAGGTTTAAGAATGTTGGACACCAGAGTAGCTCCAGCAGCAGACTGCAGTGCACTCTCCTTTGAGCCGTGCTCCGCGGGAGAGTGAGGTATCTACTGCCGTCTGCCTCTCTGTCCCCGCCCCTCCGCCTCCTCCTGTGGCCATTCACAAACGCACCGTCGCTCGCTCCTTGGCCCCACGATCGGCCCCGGGGGAGCAACACCGACTGCAGTCTGGGCTGAGCGTGAAATGGGCATGCGGTTAACAAGAAGATGTATATTCATTAAATGATCACTAAACCACGAAGCATGGTCCGACTGACGGCTGTAAGTAATTGACGAAAAAAAGTATCTGTTCAAATCAACCAATTAGCCACTTTAGAGGGCAATAAAGCAACAGAATGTGCACAATGAACCATCACGTTTTATAGGCTACATCGAAGAAGCATATTACATGTGTAATGTGTAATTTGATTTGGTTTAAAATATGCCTACAGCTTGGCTGTAAAGGTTTGGTTTGTTTTTGCCACGTTTTAACTATCAAACTTTTCTTCTTTTGTGGGACAAAGGGAACAGATATTTGGCATTTCGCTGGTAAATATTGTTTGCATGTAACAAGATCAATTACAAGCAGATGTATCGTCACATATCTTTTGATTATTGTACTATTTAAAGGGACAGTCTACAGCCTTCAGTCCACACATGAGTCAGAGTAGATAGCCTACTATTTACAAATCTCCCTATTAAGCCAAATCAAACATGTTGAAGCACACATTTGCCTGGACCTGACAGTAGCGTTTGATTCTTTGCCACACAGCTCTACAGTTACAAATTATTATTATTTATTTATGGATGACAAGACCCAATCTTCCTTTGAAGGCATTAGTCTTGTTTGACAACCTTAAGTGGTATAACATCTCCAGTGGTCTACATTCACACAGCCAATCTATCTTTGCTGTGCTGTCATCTGTTATCATCTTTCTTTCGCAGAGCTGCAGCCCCCCACCCACTCACTCAGCTGCATTAGGCCATGTGTCACCGCTCACTGACCCACTCACGTCTGACTGGATCGCCCGCCTCATCCCCAGGTCTGTCATTCTGCATTGGGTCCTGTGAGCTGCACATAATACTGATACAAAATATGCAACAAGACACATGAAATATTAACTTTTTCTTTACAATTTTTGTTAGACTTTTTAAAATAGGAGGAGATGAAGATGAAGCTCAAAGCTGCACGAGTTTTGATAGGATTGTGTTAGAATGGTAAAGGGAAATTTAATATGAAAACAAGATAATATTCAGGTCGAGAGGTTATGGACACAAATTAACAAGAGGTTAATAAGATTTTAATTAGTTCACATGTTCATATGGAGTACTGTATAGCTATAAGGGTCATGGTTTCATTTTATGCTTCAGTATTCTTTCATGGTTTTCTAATCTACATGGCACAATATTTCTGAATATGTGCAAGAGCAAAAGCTAGTTCAAAATCAAATTATAACCCTTTAAATAAACTGCCCTAAAGCAGAGTTAGTGTTAGTTTATTTATTTAGTTAAGTGCTTTTACAACCCTTTTGAGACAATGCATTGTTTGCACAGGCTCAACCATAGCTTTACTTTTAAGGTCAAGAGCCACTAACCTGCCTCTGTTGAAATGCAGCCACGTGGCTAACAGGGCAGACAATAATATGCTTTTAAAGGAATATAGATTTTGGAAAATACAATACTGAGCAGGTTCAGCACTTTTATCCTCTTTGAAAAACAATAGCTCTTGTGTACAGCATTTGCTATTTATAAAACAAATGCATATATAAATAATAAATGATCTTTAATGGGGCTGCCTGTGTAATGTCATATGGCTAATTAGAATAAAGTTCAAGGTAATTTAATTGTCTCAAAAAAGCTTTTTATTTATGTTTATATCATGGTATGTTTTCACTGGTCGTATGGCTCAGTCAAAAGATAATTTAATTACACAATTTTATATGATTCAATATAACTTAACCATAGCAAGTCAATTTGTAATTATAGAGTTATAAGGTTTGAACATTGACAAGAAGAAAATGATTATAAGACTTTGTTATGGTTCAAAATACATTGTAATTGTTTGTGTAAAATAATGTGTGTTGTATAGTGTGTTGTATCTACAACATTCCTTCTCCCATTGCTCTTGTCATCGCAGCTCTAAGCAGTGTCTCCGCTCTTCATCAACAGAAGTACTCTGCTCGCCCAAGGTCAAAGGTCAGCACAGAAGAGGCGCGTGGCAGTGGCATTGTCAGATTGTGGTTCAGGTGTGAAGGACGTTAGCCAGCTGAGCCTGTCCATGTGAACACAAGAGCGGAAATTGGAAGTGAGTTTCTACACCTGTGAATTATGAGCTAACACTTAAGACAATGACAAACAAAAAAAAACTTATGCCACCACTGATATGTTGCACAAGGTAATAGTATATATTTTTAAGAGGACTCTAAAACTAAAAAGTGTACAGATGGCTTTCAATAAAAGCTGTAATGAATATAAAATGACAATTGATAGGCTTCAGATTGAATTGGCACTTGTACATTGGTGTAATAAGTGCTCAAGTACTTTCCTTCTGTATGTAAAAGTTGGTCAAAAGGCAAACCTGTTGTTTTTTTAATTGGGATAGGGAGTGTTGGCACAGATATGCGCATTTCTCTCTGCCCTCTCTATATTGTTTGCTGGCCGGTCCCCAGGAGACGCTTCTGGCAAACAACTGGGCCCAAGATGCAGTATTTCTGGCAGGCGGACATTGCATAAAACCTTTTCCCTGTCGAATTATAAACATCAAATCTGAGCTTTTGTCAAGTTTACAAAGGAGATATATTCCTGCATGTGGCTTAAGACACGTTGGCTCAGAGCACAGCGCTCTGCTTGATTGGCTGGTATTATGTACTAGAGCGAGCCTGTTCACCCTCAGTAATGGAGGCACGGCTTTATATTGGAGTGCCAAGCCCCAATCTCCAGTGCTCAATGTGTGCACTGGCAGCTTAGGATAAGCTCTCCTTGCTCAAATGTGCCCTACATCTTATGTCTCTGTCTTGACTGTTGCTGCAGTGGAGCAAAGCCTCCATACTATAGGAACACTCACAGTATAAACAACAGATCTTAATCTGATTTAAACTGAGCCCAAGTTTCAGCCTGTACTGTGCCATCTGAGGCCCAGCCATGCAGTTATTTTATATAGTCCAGGTATATGTTATAATCTGTGTCAATTAAACCGGGATCTGTTGTTTTTGTGCTCAAAATGAGGAATTTGCCTGAAAGGACGGTGCAATATGTGCACTGAGGCTACCCTTTATCTCTCATATCCCTTTTGGATAAAGAAACCTTCCCAAAAGGTTATTTTTAATGGTGGCCTTAAAGAATGGGGAAGAGCACTAGACTGAAATACTTCTCAGTTTGTGTGTTCAGTGAAATGTATTTTTAAGTTCCAGTCTGGTGAACCATGATAATAATTGTGGTCGTGTCATGTTTTTGACATATTCAAGGCTCATCTAAACAGGACATGTCAACACATAGGTCCTATTGGAGGCAGCCTTGTGTTTTCAGAGGTGACTTCTCCTGTGACAAAACATACATAAACTCAATCAGCACTGACTTTGTAAACATTGTCAGGCGGATATGGGCGGTCGAGTCAAGGTCCCTATGAAAGGATCTTTTTACTTGGTTAATTTGTTGTGTGAGAGACATTTTGGTCTTCACAATAGTGACAGACGCACACTCAGTGCGAACTCAGTGTTCACATAGGAACAGCCAGTCTGAACTACAGAGATACAGTGAAAGCAAATTAACCTACAGACCTAGCCTGTAAGTTTGATCCGCAATCAGTACAAGATGTCATTAATGGCCAATGTGTTGATAGACCTAGAATGGTATCTGTCCTTAAGTGATTTGTAAATGGAGCCCTTACAGCCCACTGCGTGTGGATGCAGCCCAGACCCAGAGGGGCTCTCAGGTACACTTGGAGACTTAATGCCACAGAGCTGTCCAGTGGATGGAGAGTGCTCCCCTGTCACTTCTCCCAGTGGGGAAATTAGCTTGGCAAGAAAGCTATTTCGCACTAAAGTCTCACCTCTCGCCCAATGTAATCATTATATTTCTGGAGTGTAAAATGGTTATGGCCTTTATGTAATTGAAGAGGCTAAGGCTAAAGATTGGCTGAGAGAGGGAAGAATTTAGACATTTGGGTCAGAATGAAGACTGGAGTATTTCTTTTTCAAAAATAAATACAGTAACACTGTTTCAGTGAATAAATACAGTTGTCATAGCATTCAGGTATTACACTGATATACAATATACAGTATGTATAGTGTAGTCACATGGCCATTGTCAAAACCTTAACCTAAATAAATGTACACTTCCTGCTCTCAAAACAGAAACATTCATAAGTATGTTATGCAAGATTTGAGAAATTGTAATGCATTTTATTTCAATGTATAATGCAATAAATAAGTCTAATTTTTGTTCATTAATAAATAAGTCTTATTTTTGCACATTTTCAAACTACTGCCAGGTAATGGACAAACATAATCATGAATGACAAAATTATATGACATAACTGTTTGACAGAGATTAGGATTTTACTAACTCAAAACTTTTTGGAAAACTGTTTGAAAAGTATTTTGTTTGTACATGGATATATGTTCCCTCTTCACCACTAGACTTTTCCCCCAAATCTATATACTATTACAGATTTACAAAAAGTCAAATATAGCATTTAGTTCACAGTAAATGATCCAAACAAACACATTATACATCTCAAAGAAAAAAATCCAAATCTCAAAATGTATATCTTAAAATTAATCAAAATGGAGAACAGCCTCGAAACATGGATTCACCCCACCCTCTTTTAGTTAACAGAGACGAGCAAATATCTGTGAAGAAAAAAGCTTGTTCTAGTAGTTACTGTCCTCTCTCAGCTGCGGGCCATTTATCTGATGCAATCTTCACTTGTCACCTCAGAGGCCGAGAGAGGAAGTGCCTCAGAGAATAAACAGAGGAAGGGAGAGCACTGTCCATTAGTCCAAGCCACGGTTAACCTTACACATAATGCTTTACATTACAAGACAATGCACAGAATCTCTAGATCAACAAAAGTCTATCTTAAGTTTAAATTTAGCCTCAGCGTTTGCGATGATAAAATGATGATAGTACAAAGCAAGTGTGAGTGTGTGATGGTGCTGGTATGCTGTTTATGCTAAGAGAATCTGTGAAGTGTCTGCCAATGTCTACCAGGCACGGAAACACCCTGCAGGCTAAGTAGGGCAGCTCAACTTTGCAGTGAGTTTAGCAAGAAATAAGAAAAAAAAAAGCTTTAAGCCTGTGATCAAAACAATTAGACAAGATGAGGAGTGACAGCGCATGAGCTATAGGCGTCAGGGCAAAAGTTCATGTCAAGTTCATGGAAAGAAATCCCTTTGTAAACACGTGGAGAACACTCCTCAGTCATGTAGTGTGAAGTTGTTTTTCTGGTTGACTTTTGGCTTGGATTAAATTGCAGATGACAACCCCGTGAGCATTGAGTGATGGCAAAACATGCATTTGAAGAATAGGCTGTGGTGACATTTTAGAATATGGTTATGTCAGAATTTCAGATGGAAGGCAAGATCTGTATACCTCTATGGGAGATTCGCTGTTTTTGTTCAAACTTAAGATCCATAAATGTTGAATCTTATTATTTGTTAGAGATTGACTACACAAACTTTCAAAATTTATGACTTCATGTCCTTTCATCTGACAGTAATCACTTCTTTGGTGTTGAATAAGGGCACCGCTTTTTGAATCTGTTAAAGAATATTTTCACTTCCATTGGTTCATACTCACAGAGAAGACCTCAGTGTGTCAGTTTTTATTTCATATGATATAGCACTCAGAAAATTACAGATATGAACCATAAACACGTCAACAAACATTGTAACCTGACAGTTACAGCAAAGCTCCAGCTCAGTTTTAAACTATAGGATTTCTAGAATGCTGTCAGGTCATATGAACTCAGTTTATTAAATATAATATATTATACAAACTTGATTCATACCTGGGGCTGTGTTTTGTTTCACACATGTTTGAGTAATGCTGCATTATTAGTCTGTAGAAATCTCCAAAGCTCAAAATGCTCTCTTCCACCTTGTGATGTCATGTAGTGTTTTCAAGTTAACCCTTTTACTTTTTGTTCAGTAGAGATTGGTAATTCCAGATCTGAAATTATCCAAATGATTCTAGTGGAGGTATATGAAGAGGTGGAACAAAGTGTTTTCATTTTTAGAGAAGAACTCAGGCTAAACATGTAGGGTTTGTGTGAATGAAACAAAACAACTCCAGTTATGTTTGTAATGAGGAAACCACATTATAACATAGATCTGAAAATAGCGTATAATGGGCAATTTAATGAATGAAGCATATGCGATAGGGATGTCCTGTAGTGGAGTTATTCTCGCAGAAGGCAGAAGACAAAGTACACAGTTCTGCATATTTGGCATTGTGCACACTGACGCCTGAGAAATGTTGACAGAGGGGCCTCCATTTATTTAAATTATACCAACATAATTTGATACAGAGCCTGGCAATAAGACAATGAAAATAGTATTGCAATAAGGATATGTTCTTTTAGTGATGGTGTCATATTGGGATTCAGTTGCTCAGTGGTAAGTGAGTGCTATAGTGCACCAACCCCAAAGGTCATTGATTTGAAATTATGCCTCAAGGGGTCAATAAAGAAACTTATCACGAATTTATAAGGCCAAGATACTCAAGCAATAAACTAAAGCATTGATTTTGTGGAAAACTACTTAACCATTTTATCTGAATGCAAACTGTTTTTGAAACCTGCTGCCAGTATTGATTGATGGAAGTGCTCTGAAAATGTCACTCTTTGTCACCACTTCATCCTGTGATGTTACATGTTTCTGACCTGAAAATCTGTCATGGGAGACCAGATCAAAATGTTCTAAACTCATCCTCTATCAGACCTCTCAGGTATTATTAATCTTCATTCCTCAAATATCACTGCCACAACTGGTAAAAATGTAAAAAGTAAGATGGTAACAAGGCCAAAAATACTGAAAAGGAGTTTCAGGAGTCTCAGTGCATAATGTTGTAGTTTTTAACTGCTCTTTTCTGCAGGTGATTGGACAGTTGAGAAAGACAGATAAAGTAAAAAATGAGCAGTAATGTCTGTGTTCTAGTCATTCCATTGACACTCACTCTTTGACTTAGAAAATTCCTTTCTCAGTCTCTAAACTATATCTGTATTTTTTATGCACTATGTTTTATATCACAGAAAAAATGTGTACTCCTTGCTGTGTAAACACTAAGGGCTGAATTTAAACCTTT